TCTGCACACAGGGTCTGGGCACGGCGTCCAGGCGCACCAGGCCGAGCAGCTCGGGGAGGTGGACGGCCCGGGCCGGCGGGTCATGGCGCACCCAGCGCAGCAGGGCCTCCAGCCGGCTCTGCTCCGGCTGCACCTGCAGCAGCTCGCCGGCCAGACAGGCGGCCAGCCGGTCCTGGGGCAGCCGCAGGAACTCGTCCTCCTGGGCCACCGCCTCGAAGTTCTCCCGCAGGAAGGCCCAGGCCTTGGCAGCCACGCCCAGCAGCCCCTGCTGCTCCCCAAACTCGCAGATGCCCAGGCAGTTGGTGGCATCCAGCTGCTGCTGCAGGTAGCGGCCGCAGACCTTCTGCACGGCGGGGAAGTGCAGGCGTGCGGCCGTGCGGGTCAGCGCCTCCACGTTGCCCTGCGTGACGGTCAGCCGGCCCGTGTACACGAAGTCCACCAGCTGCCCCACCACGGCGGGCTCCACGTCCCGCAGCTCCACGCGCGCCGAGAAACTCTCGGCAAAGTCGCCCGCAAACATGGCGTGGAAGTAGGGGCTGCTGAGCGCCAGGAGGCCGCGGTGGCAGGGCAGCTCCCGGCCGCCCACCAGCAGCGTGACGTCGGCCAGCTTGGGCTGCGAGCGCAGCCGCCGCAGGCCGTCCAGCATGTCCTGGGCGTGCGAGGGCAGCTGGAAATCCAGGTCGTCCACGTGCCGCACCATGGCCGCCAGCGCCGGCGACGGGCCCCGCAGCCCGTCCGCTCCGCGGAGAGCCGCCGGCCGGCCGGATCCTGGGGAGAGAAGGGGGCAGGGTCCGCCGGGCGGGCACGGCTCCTCCACCCGAGGCGCCCATCCTTCCGGCCGTCAGTCCTTTCCACCTTCCACCAGCCCTGGCTGAGCATCATAGCCATGCCAAGGTGTGCGGTGGGCTCAGGGTTAGTCCCGTTTTACGGTGAGAAGGCTGAGGCTCAGAGGGGGCCGGAGACCTACCCACGGCCAGGTAATCGGGGCAGAGCGAAGCCAGCACGAAAACCACACCCGGCCCCCTCCACAACTCTGGGCTACACAGAGCAGACCCTCCGGAGCCTGGGGATCGCTGTGGCCCCCCACCTCCAAGTGGATTCCCCTGCTCCCAGATCTGACCTTGCTGGGGAGGATGATGAGGGCCCTTGGAAGCTTTCCTGCCCCACCGATCCTCACTGTCCACGGTTACATGGAGCCTCGGGCTGCCATGACCTTGCTGGGTGACCTTGGTCCCAGTTTTCTCAGCTGCAGATCCAGAGGCCGGCGGGGAAAGGGGCTCTGTGGTCACAGTGCTCCCCACGGGCCAGGCCGTGTCTCGAGGGTGGGGTGTGCCCTCCTCACGTGGGCCGCACGAAAACCCTGTGAGGCGGGTGCTGTCAGGGTCCTCGTGAAGGGGGGAACCACAAGCACGTCACCTGTCCAAGATCACACAGCTAGGACGTGGGGGAGCCATGCTCGGGGCCTATGCGCCGAACCCCCAGGTTACAGGTCCCCGGGTGTAGGTTGCTAAAGACAAATACGACGAAGGGGAACTCTCTGGACAGCGATTTCGACTCAGTGTTCGTATCACTGGATTCAGCAAATCCACTTCTGGCTTATTTAATTGTGTGCATATTCATTTATGTACTCCTGACATTTTACCCCAAGAAAGCTGCCCCAAATTTCACCCGAAGCTACCTACAACCCCTAAAAAAAGCTGCACCCCGGGACATGGTCTGTTCACCAGGGGGCGCCCTCCAGAGCCGTCAAAGGGAAGGAAAAGGGCCAGCGGGCCACGGGGACCAAACCCTTGGTGAAATAAGTGTGATCAAAATAACAAAGTCCTGACTGGGTGTTATGCACAAACAATGAATCATGGAACGCTACATCAAAAACTAATGATGTAATGTAGGGGGATTAACATAACAATAAGAAAACTAAAAAAAAAAAATAACAAGTCCTGAAAAGAGAACCGTGAACTGTGGGTGCCAAGGGGCAGGGAGGGCCCTGCTGAGCTATGGCGCCGGAGGCGGGAGCTTAGGCACCTCCCGCACCCCCCGCCCCACCGTTGCCCCTAGAGAGCAGGGCAGGACCCCGGAGCCCAGCCAGGACAGGACAGGTCAGGGCCCCTGGCCAGCATCCCTCCTGCCCGACCCCCTTCCAGGGAGGCCCCCTGGCCGAGTGAGGACAAAAGATGAGCCCAAGGCCACTGCCCCAGGCCTCACATTCCTGTCACCCCTGGGTTCCCGGTAGCTACCACCGCCCCGGGAGCCAGTGGGCAGGGTGCCCACCCACCTTCTCATGGGGCCTCAGCTGCATCTACTGACACCTGCCACCCTCAGGTCCCAGAACCAACGGGGTGGGGGGTTCCGGAGAGTCTCAGAGCCTCAGCCTGGTGCCTGTCCAGGCCGGCAACGAGGAGGGCTTCGGCGGGCAGGACCCAGAGGGCCTGAAGCCAGCAGCGGCTGGGCACTGGACACTGGGGTCCCGGCTGCGGCTGGAGGGTGTGGTCGGCCTCCCCATCGCCCACCTCTCCAGCCAGGAAACCGAGGGCAGTGTGCCGGCTGAGCCCTCACCGTGCCCCAAGGGGCCCAGCTTGACCGGGGCTGGGGGCTCTGTGTCCAAACACCCAGCGCTGTGATCTCTATGACCCGCCGGTTATCCTACCATAACCTGCCCTCCCCTGCAGCTCCCTGCCCCAAATCCCACCTCCCGTTCCCCGATGCCCACACTCCAGAGCCCCTGGGACCCTACCTCTCAGTCGGCCCCTGGACCTTGGAGAACTCAGGCCGGAGAATAGGACTTCCCAGCCGGCAAGGGGCCCGGAGGGCCTGCTGGGCTGGGCTGGGCTGGGCACCACGTGGGGATGGACAGAAGGGTATTTTTAGCACTGTCTGCATTGGGAGGGAGTGGGGGAGGGAGAGAGCTGATGCTCCTCCCAGGCTGTCTGCTCTGAAAGGCTGAGGTCTCCTGGACCACAGGGACCAGGCCGGACAGCAGGAAGCATTCCAGGGGGGACAGTGGAGCCTGGGCTGGAGACTCAGGGGGGTGTGGAGGCCCCAGCTCAGGGCCTGGGTGTTAGTAGGGCCTGACGGGTACTCGCTTCTCTAATGGTCACTGACAGGTGCCCCAGTGGCCTTTTGTTCATCTCTCAACTGGGAGAAAGTGACTATCACAAGGAAATGCAGATTGGTGAGCAAAGGCTTTCTAAACTTGGGGTCCACAGTGGTGGTCGGGAAGCCTTTGGTGGTTAAAGTGGGGCCCAGAGAGGTAAGGAGGCATCCCTGAGTGCTTCGCTGGGCTGGCGACAGGGACACTGGACCCGAGGCTCCCGGTCACAGCGTGGCTTCGGCCCTGGTGCGGCCCTGGCGTCCTCACTCGTCGTGAGAACCAGAGGTAGCAAAGAAATAGGGTCATCTAAAAATACAGCAGCGGCGGCCTGCAGTCTCCCCCTCAGCTCTGGGCTCACAGTGGTCACAGGGGAAGCCCTCACAGCTGGAACCCAGCTGGACCCGGGCCCCGGAGAGGGGGTCTCTGGACATCTCTTCTGCCAACGGTCAGAGCGAAGCTTCCCAGCCGAGGACGTGCATGTGCGCCTGCAGCCCGGGGAGGCCAGGTGAGGGCCTCCACCTGTCGCCCCTCCTTCCGTCACTCGCGTGGGCCTTGCTAATACCACTGTTCCCCAGTCTGGAGGGTCGGGGAGGGCCGAGTCTGACGAAGGCCTCCGGCTGCCCCCCCAGAGACTGGCCTGACGCGGTTCCAGTGGGGGAGGCTCCCAGGGCGACAGCCCCCACTCCTGGCAAAGTTAGGTGATTTCTTAAGGGTATCAGGATATCATGACAGCTTGGGTCCTGGACAGGTGACCCCTGTCTGGCCATCATAGCCGCTGGCCCTGCTCCCTACGGGATGGCTGTGAGCTCGGAGCCACAGTTCTGCTCTCACGGGGTGTGCGGTCTGGTTAGAACTCAGTCCTTACACAGATGGCGGCCACGACTGACTGATGACGGGTTTGCAAGGTGCTTCCAAACTCTGCTCACTTGTGCTTCCTGATTCCATGCTGCCCTCCCCAGCCCTGCCCAGCTTGGTCATAGCCCAGCTCATCCCTTCCCAGTCTGCCTGGTTCAGCCCAGGCCAGCCCAGCCCAGCTCAGCCCAGTTCAGCCCAGCCTAGCCCAGCTCAGTTCACCCTAGTTCAGCCCAGCTCAGCCCAGCCCAGTCCCCGCTTCAGATGGTCCCAGGATCTCCCTGCTAGCCTTCAGCATCAGCCTCATGAGGTCGCAGAGGGAAGGGGGACGCTCATGGACGTCTCCAGGACCATCCTGGGGAGGCCACTAGAGGGGAACAGAGACGTCATTCCTGCTCCTGTCCTTGTAGCCACAACACAAAGGGTTAATGTGTACCCAGCCCAGGCTGGAGGAAAGAGGACAGGGTATTCTGATGACAGGCCCCTGTCACCGGGAGCTGCCTCCCCTGGAGGCCTAAGGAACGTGGGGAGAGCAGACCTAGCGCCTCACATGACCAGTCAGTTTGGGAAACTTGACACCAGGCACTGGAAACAGATCTTTATCAACAGATTGCTACAGAGTGGTGCAATCTTTAAAAATATGCTGCTTGTTCCTTCTCATGATGATAAAAATAACACATGTTCATTTGTGGAGCATTTGGAAAACACGAAGCAGAACAATTCAACTGGTAGAAGACAAGCCCCACGAACACACGGGATCCCCCCGCCGTTCTTCCCCGCGTCAACGTTTGGACGGCGGTGGGCGTGTTTGCGCATCCTGTTTCATCGTTTTATATTACAGCCCCAGCGTTTCTGATGCGATCGGTCTTTGAAAATAGGATCTTCGATTTCATCAAACTGTGGCCATATCACACTTTAAGAATTCAAAGGGACATCCAGTCATTCCTATTAATGGACATTTGGGTCATGTCCTTTTGGACTATGAGAAATGATACGGTGCTGCCTCTGTGATTCAGAGTCAGAGGGTGAAGTCCCCGAGTTAGGGTGTGTGCTCATCTCTAGAGCTCGATGCACCTTCCGGGGGGCAGGATGGCATGGCGACTGGGGAGCTTCCTCCAGCAGGAGGGCACCTGCAGGTGGTGAGGCCATCTGGCGCACCTGTCCTGCCCAGCCCCTCCTCGGGGGTTTTAGAGCTTTACCTGCTTCCAGTATCTCTTATTCCATCTGGGATTTTTTGGGGGGCAGGGGCTGCCCTAATATCCTACTCCCGCCACTCTCAAATAGTTTACCAACACTCTGGGGACTACTATTGACCATTCCTTCTTTCCCCCACGGATTTGCTGTGGCGTCTTTGTCTTAGGGCAAAGTTTTCTGTGTGAAGCATCTCAGCTTTCTCTGTTCTGGTTTGTTGATCTGAGAGAAAGGTATTTTGGGGTCAGAACCACCTGGTTTGATGGACTACTGCTCTACAATTATGAGACTTCATATCTAAAATGACTCTTCCACTTCAATCTTGTTTGCTGTATTAGTTATCTGTTGCTGCATGACAAATGACCCCCAAATCTAGTGTCTTCTAAGATTTTATTTATTTATTTGAGAGAGTGAGAGCTAGAGAGATCACAGAGGCAGAGGGAGAAGCAGACTCACCGCTGAGCAGAGAGCCTGACGTGGGGCTCGATCCCAGGACCCTGGGATCATGACCTGAGCCAAAGGCAGATGCTTAACGACTGAGCCACCCAGGTTCTCCCAAAATCTAGAGTCTTAAAACAACAAACACTTGTGATCTCACGCAGGTTCCTGGCTCTGGGAGCACTTTAGCCAGGGGTTCTGCCTCAGGATCTGTCCTTAGTTGGCACCAAGGGATCGGCCATCATCTGAGGGCCGGACTGGGGTGGGAGGCCTCACTTCTCCCTGCACAGGCCTCTCTTACAGGGCTGCTTCCAGCATGGCCCCGGGCTTTCCCCAGAGCTAAGGGCACAACGAAGATGAGAGCCTTTACTACCTACTTGGAAGTGAGAGCCATCTCTTCTGCCATATTCTGCCGTACAACGTGGGGGGCACACAGGATGTGCTATGGGGATGGGGTCCCGGGAGGGCCTTCTTGGAGGCCGGCCTCACAGTTGTCCTTTTTCACTGTTCCTTTCAAATGAACTTCAGAGTCATTTAAAAAAAGAAGGAAGAGGGGCGCCTGGGTGTCTCAGTCGGTTAAGCGTCTGCCCTCAGCTCAGGTCATGATCCCGGGGTGCTGAGATCAAGCCCCGCGTCAGGCTCCCTGCTCAGCGGGGAGTCTGCTTCGCCCTCTGCCCACGTCCCCCCCACTCGTGGGCTCTATCTCTCTCTCTCTCTCTCTCTCTCTCCAATAAATAAATAAAAATCTTAAAAAAAAAAAAAAAGGAAGAGACTGACTCTGCATTCAACCTATGCATTGAGGTGCGAAGAGCTGCGTCGTTAGCCGTAATTATTCTAGTCATGAGGAAAAATGTGATGTTCTTTCAGCACCTTTGGTACACCTTTATTTTCCTTCATCTTTGTCCAGCACACATTTATGGGCCAGGGAGAAAGAGGGGGTTCCCTCTCTCCAGTATCTCCGGTATTTTGCCAGCTTTTTGGGGAGCTCCTGGGTTTGCACCATGAAAAAGATCACTTCACTGAGGTCTGCAGCTCCGGATGCCTATATATGGGCTATTGGGTTTTTGCCCACTGGACGACAGGCTTACAGGCACCAAAGCGGCCTCAGAGCTGAGAGTGTGGCCTTGCTGGGGTCAGCCTCTGACTCCTGCAGGAAACACCTGCTCCCTACAGGGGAGCTGCTAGTGGGCTGGGGGTTTCCAGGCCTCTAAGCACCAGAATCACCTGGAACGCCTTAGAAAAACACAGCCTTCCCAGCACCAGCCCCGGCTGAGGGACTCAGAATCCCTGGGGCCACCGCCCAGACCCCTGGGAAGCAGAGTCTGCAAAAGGGCATCTGGGGAGTCAGCTCTGAGTGCCCAGCAGAGGCTCCCTCTCCCTCCTCCCCGGCCTCAAACCTGGGTCTGAGCCACCACCTCACCCCTCTTCTGGCAGCCCACCCTGACCCCAGAGCTTCCTGGAACCCAGGATGGTTGTGGGGCGCCCCCTGCTGGCTTTGGTCCCACCCCACCCCTGAGAAAGTCCCGAGGCCATGGAGGGACTTGCCCAAGGCCCCGGGGAGTGAGTAGGGACACCCCAAGTCAGGTGTGCTGGCCCCCTGTCCAGTGCTCTCCTGAGCACCCTGGGCCGGCACCACCTCTGAGGTCAGGCCTGTGTCCACTGCCCACCCCCTCCTGGCCACCCTCCGTGGCCAGGTTCTTGGAACAACATGGTCCTGCGGGTGGCTCAGGAGGAGCGAGGGAGACATCGGACTGTCTGGCACCTTTGACACCAGGGCTCCCCGGCCCCACTCTCAGACCTGCCCCCCGCCAGGTCCGGGCAGCGATAGCGTCCTGCAGACGGGCCCCATCTAGCTCAGTCCCATCTGGGGACCAGGAGCCTGGCGGTGGCGCCCTGCTCATTACACCCCGCTCCATCTCAGGACGGAGACCCCTCCCACAGGGGACCCGTCCACCCTCTCCAGGCCGTGGGAGTGGGCGGTCAGCACTACACCCCCTTCTGCAGATGAGGAAGGGGAGGCTCTGTGGGGTAAGGATGTTGCCTCTGGTACTGCGTGGAGCTCAGATCAGGACGGAGACCCCTCCCACAGGGGACCCGTCCACCCTCTCCAGGCCGTGGGAGTGGGCGGTCAGCACTACACCCCCTTCTGCAGATGAGGAAGGGGAGGCTCTGTGGGGTAAGGATGTTGCCTCTGGTACTGCGTGGAGCTCAGATCAGGACGGGCTCGGTGCCCACCCAGTGCCGGGACTCCCTCTGGGCGCAGGCGGCTCTCCGCTCGCTGCGGACACAGGGGGCGACGAGCACAGTCGTGAAGGCAGCGCAGGGATAGGAGGCTTTCCGAGCAAACTCACCTCCAGTGTCGGCTCCACGACAGGGTAGGAGCCCAAGCCAGCGCCCCCTCCCTTCCCAGCGCTGCAGCCCCGACTCCACCCCCTCCGGAGCGTCCTGGCGGGCTGGCTGGGAGGGCTCTGTGCCCTAGCTGACACCCTGCCTGCCGCCCTCCAAGCTCTGCAGGCAGGTGAGGACACTGCAGGGACCTCTGTGCCCAGGGGCCGGGGCTGCCGGGAGGGGCTCCCGGACGCACTGCCTGCTGGGGCCACCGCACAGCTGAGCCACGCCTGGCCCCCACGGCCTGGGTGGGGACCCATCCTCTTGGCTATCATGGGGGCGGGGGACAAGCCGCATCCCATGGCCCCCCCGCGGGGCTCTGTCCCTAGTGCTCCTAGCGCCCTGTTCACTCAGAACGCTGAGGCACTGGCGACTCCTCTGAGGAGATCCAGCTTTTCCCTTGGTCCCTCGTGGAGAAGGCTGGGGACGACATCCAGGGGCCACAGAAAGGGCCATACCCCGCCTTCCCTCTGCCATGTGTCCTCTAGGTCTAACAGCTCCCACTTGAGGGGGAGGCGCCAGTCTCCTCTGCTCCGAGCTCCCTTCGGCCACTGCTTCTCTGGGAAAAATCCCTCGCGTCCCTGCTCTCCTGAGCCTGCAGCGGGGGCCCTGGTGCTGCCTTGGCCCGCGGGGCTGGTCAGCTGGAGGACGGGACAGGAGGCGCACGGGGAGCCTTCCCTTCGGGGACCAGCTCCTTTGCAGACCCTGGGGTGGGGGCAGGGCACGGCAGCAGAGCCTGCGTCTGACAGCAGGTGGCTGCCCTGGCTGGCCGGGACCCCCACGTGGGCCATCTCTCCACCCCAGAGAATTTGGGAGGGCCTGGCAGGAAGCTCCAACCCGCAGCTCGCCCAGTTCACAGATGGGGACAGGGGCCTGGGGAGGGGAAGGGAATGGTCCAAGGTCACCGGAAAGAGGCGGACAGAGAGGCTCTGGCCGTGGCTGGAGCCACCAGCGCTGGAGGGACGGTGGGGTGGGACATGAGGGGCACTGGGAGGAGGGCCCACAGGAAACGGGCTAGCACCCGAGGTGCCCACAGAACCCGGGGGCGGAGGGCCCGGGGCTGGGAGGTCAAGTCCTCCAACTCCAGGCCGACGGGGTTCCCGGTGAGGATTCCGAAACTGAGCTGCACGGCGGGAGGAGCCGGTCGCAGTGGGACTGGAGGCGGGCATTAGCGTCTGCCAGCCTGGTCTTGCGGCTCACCTGGCCACCAGGTGAGTGACAAAGGGGAAAAGAGCGGAGAAAACCGAAACCACCCCCCACACCACATTCCCAAAGGCAGGCCGCCGCCTGTCTCACTCTCCAAAGCTGAACATCTCGGCTTCTTTCTCCTTCCAGAAGGCGAAGCTCCGGTCAATGTAGCCGCAGATGTCCTCACTGTTGAAGCTGCTGCGCTGGTGGCCGGACCCCAGCCTCTGGGCTGCAGGCTCGGGGCTGCCGCTGGGGGCGGCGGCATGAGGCAGGGGCCCGAGGGGCGTCAGGCCTGACTTGCGGCCGGGCTCCGGGTCCCAGGCGGGACTTCGGCTGGAGCCAAAGAAGCGGGCTTTGATGTCCTCGAAGCCGTCGGTCCAGGCCCGGCGGCCGGCGGCCACCTCGTCGGTCACAGCCTTGTGGAAGGCCCGCACGGTCTCCCAGCCGTGGGCGCCCAGGTGCTCGAAGACCTCGAAGCAGAGCAGGTGGCGCATCTTGCGTTCCTCGGCCGGCAGGTCACACTCCAGGAGCTGGAAGTAGCCCAGCATGAAGAGGTCCAGCGTCAGGCTGCCATAGGGCATGGGCGCCCCGTCCACGTGGGGCAGGAACTGCTCGGGCGACAGGGGCCCGCGGGGCCGCCGGCTCAGCCGCCGCAGCTGCCGGGCCGGCACGTGCGCCAGGATGGCCTTCCAGGTGCCCAGCAGGTGGGCGATGGTGCTCCGCTGCTGCCACAGCTGGCCCAGCCGGGGGCCCCCGCTGGGCGGCGGGGAGAGCAGCCGAGGGCCCCCGGCTGCCTCCTGCGCCCGCGGCCCGGCCCGGCGGGCCTCCAGGGTCCTGCAGGCCGCCGTCTTGAGGGCCGGTGTGTAGGCTGACTTCTTCCAGTGGCTGAGGAAAAGCATGACAATGCGCTCCTTGCGCAGGTTGGCCGGGTCGGCGCTGGGCACGGCTCCCGCCTCCGAGGGGCCCTCCTCGCAGCTGATGCCTGAGTCGCTGGCCTCCTCTGCGTCGCCCGCCCCGGGTGCCCCCCCCACTGGGCCGCCGCGGGGCTGCGGGGCTGCGGGCCAGCCGCCTCTCCGGCACTGCCCAGGCCGGGCCCCTGCCTCACAGGGGCCTGGGTTTGGGGTGCAGGGCGGGCCAGGGGCTGACTCGAAGTTGCCGCGCAGCGTCCACACGGACACCCCGCACTCCTGGATCTCGCGCTGTGCCTCGCTCCTGGGGGGGCTGGCAGGGGCCTCTCCGCAGGCCTCCTGCGGGGGCCGGCCTGCGGCCTTCTCCTCGCCCGGCACCAGCCCGTGCATGCCCTTCAGCAGCAGGGACATGCTGCGCACCAGCCGGGCGATGTGGCTGCACCAGAAGGGCAGGGGCTGCTCACCTGGAGCAGCCTCCGAGGCCCCCGCGGGGCCCCTGGGCTCGGCCGCTGGGGCGGGGGCCTCCTCACCCTCTGGTCCGGGTCCCCGGGGCAGGAAGTGGCTGTTGACCGTGATGCTGACCAGGGGGGTGGGCAGCAGGGCCTGCAGCTCGGCCGCCAACCGGCCCAGCTCACTCTCATACTCCTGGCAGCGGCGCCTCAGCTGCAGGTCGGAGATCTGTTTCTCCAGGTACACCAGGTCGTCCTCCGTCAGCAGCTCCCCGAAGGGGCCCAGGATGGCCCGGTGGCTCTGTGAGTACCGCCAGGCTGCCTGCTCCGTGGGGCCCACGCTCCCGCGCTCACCCTGGGCACAGGGAGGCCAGGTCAGCCGGGGCTGAGGCCCCCGTGGCCTCGCAGCGGGGACAGGGCATGTTCTTGCTGGACACAAGGCCCCCGAGGGTGGCCTGGCCCCCGGTGCCCCTGGGGACCCTAGCCCAGCCCCTACACACCAGCTGGCCCTGCCCAGATTTAGAGCAGAAACAAGGACGCTGGCCGGCCCCGGTCCCGAGTCTGAGGCTCAGGGCAGCCACTCTGCCCTGTGGGGGCCCAGTCTTTGCCCTCAGAAGACGGGGCCTCTGCTCTGCCACCCCCACATCCTCCCAATCTCATCTCCTCGCTGTCCAATCCAAAGGGTCTCTCTCCTCAGAGCCTCCCAGGCCCTCCCCCCAAGCTCCAGAGCCTTCTGTGGTTGGATAGCAGCCTCCAAAGAGGGCGGCTTCTCCCACCCAGCTCTGGGTCCTCCTGGTGGCTGCCCTGGCACCAGGGTCCAGCCCCGCCCCCCAGTGCCCACGGCCTCTGGGACAGACACAGAGGGGCCCTGCGCTGGGCTCCCTCTGGGCTCAGGCTCTGTGCCAGCCTGATCACAGCTCAGAGCCCCCTGAGGGAGGGGCCCCAGTTCACAGGGAAGGGGCCTGAGCCACCACCTGGTTGCTCAGAGGCCCGAGATTGCCTGGCGCCAGGCAGGGCTCTGCTCTGAGAAGTCCTGATTCCTTGGCCCAGCAGACCCAAGGGCACGGAGCGGAGCCGCCCAGGGACGAAGGCTGTGGCCAGGCTGGGACACCACTTCCCTCAACATGCCAGGTGAGGATGACACGTAGGCATCAGCCACCTGTGGCTACAGAAATGGAATGTGGCTCGTGCAACTGAGAAGTGGGAGTTTGACTTTTGTTTCATTTTAATTAATTTAAACGGCCACACGTGGCTGGCATGACCGCGTGGGACAGGGGAGCTCTGACCACGGGCTGTATAACACTCACCATTCAGACAAAATCCTATTCCGCTATGTCCCCCAGCAGCTAGACGAAGCCTGCTACCACCCAAGTCAAATCACAGCTTCTCTGCTCGGATTCCCAAAGGCTCCCCAGGGGCCTGATGGTGAGCCGTCCTGTTCCCTCTCTGACCTCACCTCTGCCCATGACACCTCATTCACTCTGCTCCGAGGTACCAGCCTATTCATGCCTCAGGACCTTTGCATGTGTTCTCTCTGATTAGAGTCACTTGTCCCAAATCCTCACAGGGTTCCTTTTTCTTTCTGGCTCCTGCTCAAGATCCCCTCCTCAGAGAGGCTGCCCCTGAGCACCCATATGGAATACCCACTCCCCTTTGCGCGGCTCTGCTTCTCTCCGTGACACCTGGAATCACCTGCCCAGCCCAATCACCCTGCCTTCCCTGCTGGAATATAAGGGCTGGAAGGGCAGGGCCGGTCCCCTTCACTGCCCGGCACAGGGCCCGGCACAGGGCCCGGCACAGGGCCCGGCACAGGGCGGAGGTGGGGTGAAAACCATTGGACAAAAGAACATGTGGCTACAGCACCTCTGACGCAGGTGAGGAGGCTCCCAGCTCCCTGATCTGCTTCCACTTCACCGTCCCTCAGAGGAGGAAGCTGGGGCCACAGAGGGGCACGCAGTGGGGTGCCTGGGTTTCCAGAGTCGAGGTGTGGGCTCAGGCCCCCCACCTTCCACGTCTACCTGCCAGGACAAGCCTCCCGCCCCGCCTCCACTCTGCGGGGCTCGGGCGGGTGAGGGGCGGAGTGGGGCCCCGCCCCCGCCCCGCCCCGCCCGCCGGGTCCCGCCCCGACCAGCCAGGTCCCGCCCCCTCTCCCGCCGGGCCCCGCCCCGCCCGCCGGGCCCCGCCCCCACTCAGCCAGGTCCCGCCCCCTCTCCCGCCCCGCCCTGACCCACCGGGCCCCACCTGGGCCTGGGGCGCGGGCTCTGAGCCCAGGCGCGCCTGCAGCTTCCGCACCATCACCTGCCGCTTCCACTCGGGGATGGGCCGGCCGCGCTCGTCCCGCGTGGGCACCAGCCCGTCGAGGTCTCCCGAGGGCAGCCTGTCCAGCTGCTGCACCGCCAGGCAGTTCGGGGCGTCTCCCGCCACCATCTCTCCCTGTGCGGACTCAGGCTGGTCACTCAGGGCTCGGAGGGGACCCCGCCCGGGCCGGTGCGGAGGGCCACACGGGGTGAGCAAGGCCCAGGGAGGAGGGGGAGGGGGTAGGCCAGGGAGACCCAGCCTGGTAAGCGTTGGCCTCTGAAGGCAGGGATCCCCGGGGTCCGCTGTGGGATCCAGGTATGTGCGTGGGGGGACCGCTGGCTGAGAGGCAACCAGAGATTCCTCCCCTCTTCTGTACATGGCAGAGAGGAGGCTGCCATGTGAATGAGCAAACGGGTACAGTTACATAGACAAAGTCCGGTGGCCAATTCTGAACTGCAGGACTTGTCAGAGCCTTTAAGTGTGCCCTATAACTCTCCAAGAGGGACAGCACCATGCAGCATTTCCCAAACTTGTACAGAACATCTCAGGGTCTGAGAGTTCCCAGGACCCATTCAAGGAAAGGGTGAGCTGGATTTATAAAGGCCTCATGCCCAGAAAGAAAAAGAGAAAGGGGAGCCAGCCTCCTCCAGGGGGTCCTGGGCTGGGTGGGAGCCCCTGAGGAGGAGGGCAATAGACCCCAGGCCCACCCACCCATGGACAACTGCATCTCTGCCCCAGAAGTGACCTGGCCTGGGCGCACACAGGACTCTGTGACAAGAGGCCAGCTGGGCTTTGAGGGTTGGCTGGGGAGACGGGGGGACAGGGGTGTGGAGTTGGGAGGCATACCGTGGGGACGGCCATGGCACTGGTGGTGACCCATGGAGGCGCTGCACAGATCGTCTGCTCCCTCAGAAGAGGCTGGTCAGGCCGGGCTGGGCTGGGAGTCACCACTGCTGGGGGAAGGGAAGCAGAGTCAGGGGGCTTCCCTGAGAAGGCAGGGGATGGGGGTAGAAACCCCTGGACCTGGGGCACAACTGGCCTTCTGACCACTAGACTTGGAGCCAAAGACCCAGCCAGTCCCCCAACAAATGCCCCAGGGCCCGGCAGACTGATTCATTGCTAGGGCGTCCGTGGGCCCCTGCGGAGCTCCCCAAGCCTGGCCAGTTGGAGAGCTTGCGTTTTACCCCCCTCACCCCTCGAGCTGGGGAGGGCAGAGGGTTGGGTTGGGTGGTCTGGAGACCTAATGCAGCCCCATCAGACTGCAAAAGATCAGAATTCTCCTCTTACTGCCCCTCCCCAGGGCCGCACCCCAACCGAGAAACACATCCTGCATCACACACACACACATACACACACACACGCACACACGCACGAACACACTGCATGTGATTATAAAACCACGACCCATGCCTGAAGCGGTGCTTACCCTCACGAATATGGGGCCTGCTGATATTGTTCATGCTGTCCATTTCATTTTGCTAAAATGGTCCCAGTTCCCTAAAATCAGTGACCTGCCTCTGCTAGCCCACGGATGCTCTGCCTGCTGGGGTCTCTGACAGCAGCCTCAGATCCAGAAGGGCCCCGGGCCCTAGTGACCTGACCTTCGAGATTTACCTCTGGACAAGCCGAAGCCCAGAGAGGGAACGAGGCTGCCGAGGATCACACAGGCAAGACAGCCAGGCCCTGGGGGCTCTGAGCTCACAGAGGGACCCTGGAGGGCGGAGCAGGGGGCCATTTAATTGCAATTACAAGTGTCCGTCAAGGAAAATGTTGATCCTCACTTTAAGGAAGGAACCAAGGCAGTGAAGGAAATCTGGGAGCAGCTGGGGCTGGGTGATGGGAGTGCGGGCTTCAGCTCTGGCCTCACTGTGGCATTGCCCAGCTCCTGGAGTCCGCTGCTCCCCCAGCCCACCCCCTCGAGGGACCTTGGAGGTGAGGCCAGCAGCACCCACTGCCGGCACCCACGGTCCAGGCCAGTCTTCCCTGGAGATGTGTACTCACGGGTGGGGCTCCCGAGCCCCGAGCCCCTTGTCCCATCCTCCTGGGAGTGCCTCGCGGCTGACAGCAGAGGGGGCGGAAACGGAGGTGGCGGTGGCGTCATCAGGAGCCGCACCTGGGGGCGGACAGACCCGGTCAGCAGGAGGCCCGGGTGGGCCTGACGTGGGCCACCAGCAATCCTGCTGGGGCGGCGGGGGGCATGGCGCAGGCTAATCCTGACCCAGTCTCCCTGAGCGGGCAGGCTGCCATCACCAGCACCACCAGGTGGACGCCCCCTTCATCTGAGGGCCTGGCTCACAGCCTTTCTCTGGAGGCAGCTCAACCGGGCAGCTCCGGGTGCTGGGTCGGGGCCGGGTGTCCGGCGTGCGCTTACCTCTCTGGCCTTATGAGATATGCGTGCACACACACACACACACATGCATGCACACGCACGCACACCCTCACTGTCCCCGACTTCTGTGCTGAGACAAACGGCCTAGAACGGCTCCCCTCTCCGAGAGGAGAGCAGAGCGAGCACTGTGAGGCACTTGCAACACTTCTCAGACCCACAGGTGGGGGCTGTGTGGCTGGGGCCACACCCCAGAGCCGGGGCGCTGTGCCCAGGACCCATCATGCAATGTCCAGGCCGCTCCCCTCCCCAAGGCCACAGGGAAACAGAGATCACCAAGGTCAGCCCCCTGGCACTGCAGGGGCCCCCAAAACTCACCCCTACGCCCTGCCCCATGTCCGGGGCAAGGCACAGACCTGACTGTGGCCCCCTCTCCTGCCCCTGGGGAACTGACTGGTCGCAGCCAGGAGGAGCCCTTGACCTGGACGCATCTCCCCAGCTCAGCCCTGAGCAGCCTCAGCTCTGGGGACTGACCACCAGAAGCCAAGACTTCTGGCCCGGCTGACCTAGCGAGCAGGCTGCTGACACCCGGGGGTTGTGAACGGCGGCACTGCACTTGTCTCCTCATGTCCCTCCTTACGTAGCAGAGAAATTCTCCAGGACGACACCCGAGCCAAGCTGGTCACTTTTTGGGTTAAAGCTGAAAAGTTGAAGTCCGGCCAAGCCCATCTCTCGCGGGGGCAGACTCCTGGGCTCGCAGCTGCACCGGCGTCCCCGTGAGGCCCTCCTGCCGCAGGGCTGCCCCCGCTTGCCCCTCCAGCAGGCAGGGCCACAGCTGCGGGCCCTCTGAGCGCCCAGCCCGGCTGTCAGACCGCAGCTCCGCACCCCTCCTTGCCGTGGGCAGTGGAGGTGGGACAAGCCTCCAGGTCGGTGCTGGAGAGAGCCCTGGGCAGGACATGGACATGTGGCCTGGGGCTAGGACCGTGTCAAGAGGGTGTGGCCCATGCTGCCGCTCAGTTTAACGCTCTGCTGCCTCTGTCTTAAAACGCTTCATCATTTTTGAGTAAGAAGCCCAGGTTTTCATTTTGCACTGGCCCAGCGCGCGCTGTAGCCGGTCCTGCTGGGGCAAACCCTTTGGCCACTCTGAGTGTCCCCTTGCTCAGTCCCACCTCCCGATCCCACCTTCTGGCTAGGAGGCACAGACCTTAGGGGCCACCCCAGCTTGGGGGCGCCCTCAGGAGAACCCCTGACCTGCACCCGCTGCCTCCAGCCCCTCAACTGCTCTCCCATCCAGGACCCTCCGCCCACCGTGGCCGCTGAGAAGGAACACAGCCTGAAACCCCACCTGCCTGGCCACCACGCACCTCACACCTCAGTCCTTCCAGGAATCCGTGTGGAGAACCCAGGAGCCCTGGGGCTCCGTGGGGGGCGTCCGTCGGCCCCCGGCCCGGGGGGACCCACAGAGGCAGGGGCTGGGCTGAGCACAGGGAGCTGCCGCTGTCCGGGGCTGTCAGGCTTGTCCCAGCTGCCGCCCTTGGGAGCGGGTGGTGTCGCATTAATATTTGAAGGCCGAGGTATCAGGTGGCCAGGCGGGCTTGGGGCTGGGTGCGGGATCCCTTACCATGGCACCTTCACCCTCCACAGGGCAGGGGCCGGGGAAGCAGACCCTCTGGGGATGTGGGCGAGACCTGAGATCCCTGGGTCACCGGAGAGGGAGAGGCCAGCCAGAGGAAAGCCCCAGTACAGTGTCTCCACCCCCAGTGGAGCCCCCAGGGCACAGATGGGGAAACCAAGGCTCACAGAGGGCAGGGGGCTTCCTAAAGGCCCCAAGCTGGCATGTGGTAGAGCCGGGATCAGAATCTTATTTGAGACCCCAGTCCTTGTTCCGGGAGCCGCTTGAATCCTTAGGTCCGGGGCCATCAGCATTAAAGGAGGAGGCGGATGGGTGGGCCTCTGGGGGCAGGGGGGGCCCTGACACTGGTTGGGTTTCTCGCACTCCTGCCGAGGACGCAAAGCCCTGACTGCTCTTTACATGGCCATATCTCAGGGCTGCATTTGGAGGGAGGGACCCAGAGGGATCTTACTCCTCACTATAAAATGGGGGTTCCCCAGGCTCAGCGGTCCTCAGCTGTGACATAAACCTCCCGCGTGCACGGTAGCCATCTGGACCCATATCGCATCACACAGGGACTTGGGGGGGGGAAGAGGACCCCATAAAACATGATGCTTGCTCTCTACAGTGTGTCTTGGACCCAGAACTCTAGTGTCTTCTTCCAGCGTCCATGACGCAGACATCGGCCGGCTTGCGAGCTTTAAGCAGGGCTGAGTCAGACCCCAGAGCCTGGGGCACAGCTAGAGAGGCTGGCTGTCAGTCTGACAGAGGATGGCTGAGCTCGGGGAGGGGCCTCCCCTCCTGCCTCTGGCCCCTCTCCCTAAAGGAATCTGCTCTCAGAGGTCAGGGACAAGAAGCTCCCCTCCCCCCTCAGAGCGCAGGGGAAGACCAAAGGGGCAGGAAGTTGGTTTGGCCCGCAGGGGAATGCTTTGTGCAGCACCCGCAGCCTGGGGGACCTGGTGCCACTCTCCTGGCCCCGGGCCACATCCTGCTCCCCACTCTCCAAGGAGAAGCGTGAGGGAGTCACTCCCTGGGCCTCGGTTTCCCCACCTGTAAGTCAGGAAGGTGAGAATTATGGAGGGTGCCTGGCAGGGCCGGCACTGGGGGGCTCAGACCTCATTGGCGTGGTGTTCACCTGGGAGTTCTACCCAGGCCCCGTCCGCTGTGCTGTTTCCCAGGCGGTGGGAGAAACCCACATCCTGACACTAACAAGTCTGCAAGGAGCTAAAGGAGCTCAGATGTGGGGCTCCGACCCCTGGGTCCTGACGGCTGGGCACGCACGGCCCCGAAATCAGGCAATTGCCCTGAGGTCGGCGGTCGTCTGGGCCTGGGCTGGGGCCTTCCCGTGGCCTGCCGCCTCCTTTCCCGTGTTTTTGGTGAGATTTGAGCAATGCTGTGCCTGCCATGCATTATACATCGAGGACAGCCGTGGTGAGCCGGGTTACAGGCCTGTAATGCCACCCGGGCTGAGAAAATCATGACCCACAGATGGGCGCCGGACTCCGGTCACCATGGCTGAGATTCGGTTACTGGCTGCACAGCCGGGCCCCACCCCTCCCTGGAGAGGAGGCTGCCCAGGGGAGTCCCTTGCCCTCTGTGGGCCTCAGTTCCCCAGCGAAGATGAAAGGGTCCTGGAGCCCTTCTGACCTAGGGGAGGGAATTAGCACCCGCTGGGTGTCTGAGGAGCATCTCCTGCCACGAGGCTCTTCTATCATACTGAACAGATGAGAAACTGAGGCTCGGAGATGCTGCCAACTGGCCAGCGCTCCCCAGCCAGGAAGAGCCTCTCCAACCCTGGTGGGTGTGAGTATAGGGCCAGGGGCAAGCAGGACAGGTGGGTGCTGTGGGGGCGCTGGGGGCTGGGCTTCCCCCCTTTGGAGGGTCATGCTCGTCATCCAGGACTGCTGTTCCCAACTGTCACCACCTGGCCAGGACCTCACTCAAACCCAGCCCTGCAGCCAGGAGCGCCCCCAGTCAGAGGCCCAACCCTTCATTGTGCAGAGGGGTGCCCAAGGGCCAGGGAGCAGGAAGACGTGGCCCAGGCTGAGGTGGGGCCGTTGAGGCAGGGCTAGCGTGGCAGCGGGTGAACCCAGGTCCTGCAGCCACACCAGTGGAGGGGGCACCTCTCACAGGGCAGGTCTCACCACCACCGGTCTGGCCTGGCTCCCCAGGCTACCTCCCCTGAGACCCACGGCTCCCCAGGGGCAGGTACGGGCCGCCCTGTGTGGCTATCACCACCTCCCTTGAGCCCAGCTTGGGAAGAGGCCAGCATGGCGACCTTTGGATATTGCGTTTCCATCAATATTGCATGAGGCGCTCGGCACCCCCTCCCCAGCGCGGGGGCCCACAGCTGACACCCTGCCCTCCCGCGGAGCCAAGTCTGTGCATGTGAAGCAGGTGGCCTGGTGGGGGGTGCGTGCCAGCCGGTGGTGAGGGACCCGCACCCCAGCTGCCCTGGGCGCTCACTGAGGGAGGAAGGGAGGCTCCAGGCCTAACCCTGAGTCCCACACAGGCTCCCCAAGCTCCCTGCAGATACAGCAACAAGCCTCAAAAGCCAAGGGTGTGTGGACAGGCTGGGCACTGCTGGTCACAGGCTGGGGCGCGGAGGCCGCACGGTCAGCCCCGACTGGTTGGGGAGTCCTGAGAGAACAGAACTCTGTCTCAGACCCTATGGTGATTCCGGGGAGACAGCGGGACAGCCCGAGATGCGCCGGTTCTCCACGGCCCCGGGGCCGTCGGGAGAGCACCCAGAACCCCAGCCCCCGGCTCCCCAAGCTGGGCCAAGTGGCCAGGAGGGTCTGGCAAATGTGCCGGGGCCTGGGGATGGAGGGCTGAGGTCGGAGGTGCTGCCGGGACAGGAGGCCCAGGAGTGGCTGGGCTGAGGACATGCCGGGACCTGCCCCTGGCAACAGAGCCCCGCCCGCCCCGCCTCCTGATCTCAGCTTCTAGGTCGGCCCCAGGTACCACATGGGGGCTGGGAGGGACCCAGGTGGCCGGGACATTCCCAGCCTGTGGACTGTGGAGCTCTGCCCGCTACACGGGGAACCCGCCCAGTCCCACAAACTCCTCAAACCCGAGCCAAAAAGACAACCTTTTACCAAACAGTAACCAACAGAACGTTTGTACATAAATTGTGTCATAAATAAATGACTTCAAGCAGTTAGGGCAGTCCTCGGTGCCCAAACCACAGCCGGCTGGGAGATGGGTTTCAGGTGGCAGGGAAAGGACCGTCCCATAGGCCTAGGACCAGGGAGGACTGCAGCTCTGCCTCAGTTGGTCCTGGATGCTCCTGAGGGAAAACGAGGTGCAGGAACCCCACAGTGAGACCAGGCATGGGGACATCACCTCTGTGGATCTCGGTGCTCTCACCTGGAAATGGGGCCACGTGATCCCAGGGACACTTCCCAAAAGGGTGGCCACTAAAGAAAACTGGCAAAAGCTGTGGCAGGTTGGGACTAATTTGTCATAGCAGCTGCCTTGGGCCTGGAATGGGGACAGGGATGGGCGGGAGGGCGCTGGGGGGCCTGGCTCCACGTGGACCACACTGCTGACCTCACCCACGAGAACGCCCGTCCACCCACCCACTTGTCTGTGTTCATCCACCTGCTCACACGCCCATCTGATCCTCTTCATTCAATACATGTTTGTGGTGGCCTGTCATGCGCTGGGGGCTGGGGCTGGCAGGACGGATGAGATCCTTGTCCTTATGGATGGGGAAATGGCTCAGCGAGGGGTGGAGCCATGAGGGTCATACCCAGATGGGAGCACGGGACTGGAACCTGCTGCCTTCTGGACTGCCACGGGGCTCAGGGCTCTGCTCTCACCCTGGGGTACCCTCAGTCTGACAATGTCATCCCACAGGCGCCCCAGCCAAGGTCCAGCCACAAGCCCAGCCCTGGTCCCCACTGTAGCCCGGCCCAGGCATGGCCCTGCCCCCTGTCTTGACCCCTGCCACCACCCCTGTGGGAGCCCCAGTCATAGCCCTGTCCCAGCAATGGTCACGGCCCCAGTCATGGCCCCTGTCCAAGCCTCTGTCACAGCCCCTGTCCCAGCCTCTCTCACGGCCCCTACCCTGGTCCCTGCCATAGCCCATCACAGCTCCTGCCACAGCCCCATCATGGCCCCAGGCATGGCCCCTGTCCCAGCGCCTGTCACAGCCCCAGTCATGGCCCGTCTCACAGCCCCAGTCCCAGCCCCTGTCCCAGCCTCTCTCACGGCCCCTACCATGGTCCCTGCCATGGCCCATCACAGCTCCTGCCACAGCCCCATCACGGCTCTGTCATAACCCTTGTCACAGCCCCTGCCATGGCCCGGTCCCAGCACTGGGCCAGCTTGTGGCACCGCCTCTGTCCTGGCCCAAGACCCTTTTCCTGGGAACAGCATGGGGTACACAGTAAGCTTTCTCCATAACTTGGCTGTCAGGGCAGTTGGGGGCCCTGTCAGCCCAGCCTCTGGGCTGGGTGGGCACTGTGAAGCTTACCGGCCGGGCGCTCTCCCGCAGGAACTGGGCACAGTCCTGGTGTCCGTGGTACTCTGCCAGGTCTGCCGCCGTGTAACCATCTTCATCTCGTAGGGAGGGGTCCACGTGGTGGGAGACCAGTGTCTGGCAGCACTGCAGGGAGGGGACACACATGTGACCACTGCACCACCTGCCTGTGCCCATGGCATCCACCAGGTGCGATGGAGGGCAGGCACCGTGCTGCCCCATCTCACAGGTGGCAAACTGAGGCCACCAACAGCGAAGGAACCTGCCCAAGACCCTGCCGCTGTTCACTGCAGGGAGAGGGCTCGAATCTCCGAGCCCCACCCACAGCGGCCCCGTCCAGGCAGCGGCAGCACCGAGCTCTGCGGGCACCAGCACACCCTCGTCCCAGAGGGGAACCAGGTGCCCGCGGTCAGGAACTCGCCAAGGGCTCGGCTGGTAAGTAGATGTACAGCCAGCATCCTGGCTAGGCAGCCCGATCCTGACCCGGCCCTTGTAGTCCATGCTCTGGGCTCCAAATGCAGAACCAGTGTCTGTTTGTACAGCAATGCTCAGAGCTGTGTGTCATTTTCACAGGAAGAAATGGGAAGATGGGACCATGGCCTGATCACTGTGGGATTTGGGAGCAGGGGGTGGGTGATTACAGATGGCCAAGATCTGTGAGGTGGCTGTCCCAGCAGCAAAACGCGTGGGTGGATGGATCCCATCAGGGAGTAGAGACACAGGTCCCCAAGGACAACAGAAAATATGGACTAAATGTAAAAGTCACCTTCCTAAGCATCAAAGAGGAATAACCAGGCCAAGCTCAGGAGACAGAGAAAATCTGAAGGGATAAACCTACCACTCAGAAGTGTTTTTGCCCTAACAACACGCTGATGCAGGAGAAATAATGGTTCTTCCGACAGCCCCGCAGGACTAGAGAGACCTGCAAAAGCTCATGGTCCTCCAGAGGTGAGGGCTCCGATTTATCACTTAGTGCTGTAGGCTGAGGGCTCTACCCTCAGAGTAAAGGTAAACCGGAAGCCAGCCAGCCCTCTGCTACCCTTCATTCAGTGGGCCAGGGAACCTCGAGCCTGGAATGTGGACTGAGACGGTCCTGGGCTCATGATTCCTATGTATGCCTGACAACCAGAGGCAAGGCCTCACCTGACTCCTACAAATCGTTTTTCAAATATAAGTTACAGTATACAGTCAGACAAAGTCAGGAGCCCAAAGAAATAAGATACCACAACAAGAACCAGAAGACCCAACCCACAAGGAAACAGACCCACAAAGACCCAAGAACTAACAGATAGAACACAGCTGTGCTTACTACTTTCAAGGGAATGAAAATCAAGCTTGAAAATTTAGGCATGGAATTATGAACTATGAAAAGTGACATGGTAGATTTGAAAAATGACTATTAGTAGGTCAGGAACATAGAAATAATAACCAAGTTAAAAATTGAAGCTGTAGGATGAGTAAACAGAAAATCAGTCAGAAGCAGCAATCCAGATGCAGCACAGACAGACAAAAAGATGAAAGCAGAAACGGTCTGCAATACCATCTGTAATAGTAATCCCAGAAAGAGAGGGGAAGCAGAATGGGTGCAGAAGTCACATCTGAAGGGATAATGGCTGGGAATTTTACAGGACTTAGGGAAGCACCAAAGCACAAATTCAAGATGCTCAAGCAATCCCCAGTGGGAGAAATAAAAAGCAATCCACCTCAGGTCATCCCCATAGTGAAACTGCAGGAAACCAAAGACAAAATGAAAACCCTTAGAAGTGACAAGAGAAAGAAGGATTATCTTCAAAACAGTGGCCCCTCTCAGCTGACTTCTTTGTAGAAACCACAAGGCAATGAACACATATCATTTTCCCAGCACCAAAGGAAAATATGTGGAAATTCCCAAGCAACAATTCTATACCCAGCAAAAATCTCCTTCAATACTGATAATGAGATAAAGGTGCTTCCAGGCAAACAAAACAAAATGAAACAAAGAATTGGCCGGCAACACACCCACACTAAGGGAACATCTGAGGCATCAGCTTCAGACTGAACGGAATCAGACTGAGTGGAAGGGATTCCATATGGAAGGCCAGAGATGCCAGGAGGAATGAAGATGACAAAGTGGTAAATTTGTGGATAAGTTTCAATAAGCCTTTATTTCTTGACTGAATGGAAAACAATAATGTCAGATAGGGTTTTTTTTTTAACTGCAGAAATAAAACACATTAAAAATGGTGTGACCCCATCCCATTCCAGCCTCATCCCCACCTTGCAAGCTTTCCTGCTCCCTTCTTTCTTACCACTAGCCTCTAGGCTGTGCCTTGAAAAGCTCAAACCCATCACAGGAAGCTAGGGGCTGCTGGGGACCATCGTGCTCACACCCTGGAGGCTTGTCTAAGAGATGGGGAAGCGAGTCCTTCCCATGCACCTCACTGCACCAGGCATCATTCTGGAGCGACACATAGACCACTCATTCAGTTCCAATGTCACCCTGTGAGGTTTATTACCATGCCTGTGTTACACAAGAGGACATGAGGCATGGAGAAGGACAAGAAGCCTCCCCAAGGTCATACTGCTAGGAAGTGGGGCAGCCTGGATTCACAGCAGTGGCTCTAAGAGCCTATGAGCTTCATCAGCACCCTAGACAGAGGACCATCACAGGATGATGCAGGGCAGGAAGACACCTCGAGGGTAAGTTAGTCCAGGCTCCTCCCTGCCATTGGTCCCAATGCCCTCTTTTTACTGCAAACGTTTTCTGACACCCCATTCACTATTCTTTTTTTTTTTTTTTAAGATTTTAGTTATTTATTTGACAGAGAGAGATACAGCCAGAGAGGGAACACAAGCAGGGGGAGCGGGAGAGGGAGAAGCAGGCTTCCCACGGAGCAGGGAGCCCGAGGCGGGGCTCGATCCCAGGACCCCGGGATCATGACCTGAGCCGAAGGCAGTCACTTAACTGACTGAGCCACCCAGGCACATAGTGAATAGCCATTCACTATTCTAACATTAAGTCCACTGAGAATAAAATTCGCCTGCACACATAATTTTAAAATAATATTATACTCTAATATAAAGGAGAAAAGAAAAATAATTTATAATTTGAGAAACGTGCATTTTCCTATGTGAGTATTTGGGCATGGCTGCACCAAAGACAAAGTCTGATGCCCGTATCATGAAAAATTAAGAAAGGCACTCAAATGGACAAAACAGATTGAGTGTTGTGCTTAGACTTTTGGTTATTTCCCCTCTCATTCACTGCCCTAGAGCCAACTACTCTGCAAATTGTATAAAAATGTTCATGTTATAAGGGCACCTGGGCGGCTCAGTTGGTTAAGCGTCTGCCTTAGGCTCAGGTCATGATCTCAGGGTCCTGGGATCAAGCCCCACAGCGGGCTCCCTGCTCAGTGGGGAGCCTGCTTCTTCTTCTGCCCCTCCCCCATGCTTGTGCTCTCATGTGCGCATGCTCGCTCTCTCTCAAATAAATAAAATCTACAAGTAAATAAAAATTTAAATAAATAAATATGTTCATATTAGAAATGACTCTTGTCCAGAGAAAGGCTAAATGCAAAATGTGTGCACCGGAGTGCAGTCAAGGATTTCCCTGCCAATACTGACTGGTTTTGCATCTATTTGTGAATTCACTTCATTATTCCTTACCTGTGAACTATTTGTTTGTTTACTCCTGGTTATATGAATTACTTGCCTTGTCCTTACTGAGTTAAATAAAAATCTTTGACACAGGCTCATTTTATAGTTGAATGAGCATCATGATTACAAGCACTTTCAAAAATTATCCTCGAATGTACCTATCCGTAGAATCACATTTGGGCGCGGCCATCAGTGATGCCATTTTCCCAGACAGCGAGTGGTTTGTGGTAAAGCGCTAAATAAAACAAGATACTATCTTCCCTCAACTGGACAGTAGGAGCATTCTTGGAAAAGCCTTCTATATACATGCATGTCTGATCCACTGGGAAGTTGAGTGGGGCATGGGACCTTCTGTCATTGTGCAGGACTGCCTGGGGAATAGCAGGTCCCCTGGTATCCCCTCCACCACGAGTGCACCTCAATCACTGTAAAACCAAAAACAGCCCTGAAATTTCTGACCCCCACTGCAGAGGGTACTGCCCTGATGAGAACCAAATACTCCTGTGGTTCTCGAATCCTTGGTCATGTCCTAAGCAAGTGCTCAATAACTATGTGTTGGATGAGTGAGTATTTGAATGGAGGAGAGTGAACGAATGGACATCAGAGGCTTTGATGAACTAACCGGCACTCACCAGCACCTTTCATAGGACCAGAAGGTTGACTGAGGCAGTCGTGCTCTGGATGCCTCTAGGAACTCCTACCATACTCAGGAGTGAGTTCCCTTCTTGAACAGTAAGTTAGGTAGAGAATCACCAATGAGGTAAAACCACTCATCTGAACCCCGAGAGAGCCTTATTTACACCTGCCTTCTGTCGTTTCCTTTTCAACCTTATCAGCAAAGCCCCAGACCACACCCCATCTTATGGCAACTTCCTCCGCCAAACAACCATGGCGTCGCATACCCTCCTCTTGAGATTCATGGCAGCCTCTTGACTCAGCATTAAACCTAGTTCCATGCTGTCACCAGTGACCCCTCACTGCCAGCCCCGGCTCCTGCTCTCTGCTCTGTTCTAGCAGTTGACCATGTCTAGCCATCTCTCCCTTGCCAGAAATCTCGCTCCTTCCCATGTTCACACACCACTGTAAGATCCATCGTCTCTATGAATTCTTTCCAGATTAGCTGAGCTAATGCTATTCACACAGATAGTTCTTGAAATTGTATGTCACAATCCCCTGGGGAGTTTTAAAAAGTCCTGACACCTGGGGGCTCCACTCAGAACCAATCAAACCAGGATCTCTGGGCAGGTGGAGCCCAGGTGTTAGGATACTTTAAACCTGTCCTGGAGATTCCCAGCGTACAGACAACTCTAAGAACGACCACATCGGCACTATACACTATATCTAAAATCCCAAACAAAACGTTAGCAAATTAAATTCAGCTATATATAAGAGATAACATATCATGATCACGTTGTATTTACTCCAGGAATGCAATGTTGGTTTAACATTTTTAAAAGTAATCAGAGTAGAAAGGAAGGTCTTGAGATATTTGCACACCTACATTCACTACAGCATTGTTCACAATAGCCAAGAGGTAAAAGCAATCCAAGTGTCTCCTGATGGATGAATGAATAGAGGCCATGTGGTCCATCCACACAAGGGAATATGATTCAGTCTTCAAAAGGAAGGATATTCTGACACCTGCTTCAACATGGATGAACCTTGAGGACATGATGCTGAGTGAAATAAGCCAGTCACAAAAGGATAAATACTACATGATTCCACCAGAGTTGTCAAACTCATAGGGACAGAAAGTAGAAAGGTGGGTGCCGGGGGCTGTTGGAGGGGGAGCAGGTAGATGTTTAATAGGGACAGAGTTCCAGTTTTGAGAGATGAGAACTAGGAGATCTGCTGTATTAACAATGTGCATATAGTTAACGTCACCGCACCATACACTTAGAAACAGGAGGATAAGCTTTTTTTTTTTTTTTTTTTTTTTTAAGATTTATTTGAGAGAGAGTGAGAGAGAGAGAGAGAGAGCACGAGGGGGGAGGGTCAGAGGGAGATGCAGACTTCCCACTGAGCAGGGAGCCTGATATGGGGCTCGATCCCGGGACTCCAGGATCATGACCTGAGCTGAAGGCAGGCACTTAACCGACTGAGCCACCCAGGTGTCCCAGGAGTGTAAGTTTTATGTTATGTATCCTTTACTTCAATTTAAAAAGCAAAAGCAAGTAATCGGTATAATTCACACCATTCAAAGAATAAAGACTGATATAGTAAAACAAAAACATGCTAAACAATCATTGCTCCCTTTGGAGGCTGCTAGGACACCAGCTCTTTATTCTGAAGTTTTATTCTTAAAAATGAGGGGAATCTGACCAGCTAAGGAGCCTAAGGAGACTCGAAGACTAAATGTGGTGTGGTATCCTGGAGGGAATTCTGGAGCAGGAAAAAGACATGAGATAAAAACTAAGGAAGTCTGGGGGCGCCTGGGTGGCTTAGTCAGTTAAGTGTCCAACTCAATTTTGGTTCAGGTCATGGTCTCGGGGTCATGAGACTGAGCCCCAAGTTGGGCGGTACGCTCAGCATGGAGTCTGCTTGTCCCTCCCCCTCCCTTAACCCCTCCCCTGCTCACGCTCACTCTTGAGCACATGCCCTCTCTCTCTCTCTCTCAAATAAATAAATCTTCACAAAACTAAGGAAATCAGAATAAAGTATGGGCTTTGGTTAGTAATACTGTATCAGTTTTGGTTCATTCATTGTGACCATGCTGATTAAGTTGATAATGATAGGGGAAATGGATGTGGGTCTGTAAGGATTCTCTGTCTGTACTAGTGTCTCAATTGTTCTACAAATCTAAAATCATTCTGAACTATTCTAAAATAAGAATTTATTTTGAAGTTGTGGGGGGAGATCAAGCATTAACCTAGGCTGCCTGGACAAAGTATACTTCTGGAACTGCTAATGGATCAACAGACTCACCAGACAAATCAGTAGTGTGTGGCTCCTGCTTAGCCTCCAGTTACAGTGCAATCAGGGAGGTGGATGTGGATGCTATCAGCAGGCTGGAGCGGAGATGATAGTAGGACCTTACTGTGAATTATTTTTAGGTGTGATAATGGTTTGAAACTGTGATAAAAAACAAAGGGAGTCCTTATCTCTTGAAGATGTCTGCTAAAGTATTTCTGGCTAAGACGATGTGACGTCTCTAGTTTGCCGAGGGAGTGGTGGAGGGCAGTGCGCCAGCCAGGCATTGCTGATCTCACATTCTCCTGTGCGTTTAGGATTTCCATAATAAAAAGATTGAAAGGAAGTCTGTTCTCGGCTTGGTGGCCTGAGTTCTTTTATTTTCATATGCAGAGAGGGTGAGGAGCCACCGACCCTTGGCTCATCTGTTCTTGGCTCCTATTGAGTATTTCATTTGAAGAAAACCACTGCTCGTTCCTGAGCAGCCCCGCACTGGCTGGGCTCAGGGCTCCTCCGGTCCCTCTGGACTTGGGGTCCCCTCACCACCTCCGATTCCTCTGTTGTCCCGTAGTGGGACAAAAACAAAGATTGCAGGGCTATGTGCAGACTCACCCTCTTCTCCCAGGCCTGCTGAGGACCGTTCTGCCCCCTTCTCCAGCCCCCCTCCCAAAGGCTCACCCTGCCTTCCCACCTGCTGCCCCCTCCCTGTCTAGGAAGGGGTGGAGACAGGGGAGACAGCTAGGGGAGTGAGCCTGCAGGGCTGAGTGGTGTCTGAAGGAGGAGAGGGTAAGGGTAGCTGGGGTGGAGGGTGGGGAGGAGTGGAGAGTCCAAGAATGACAATTTTTGCAGCGCTGCTGTAAGCTGGGATTGAGTCTCCTTTGCTTTCTTCAAAAGGAATGGGTGCCTTCCCGTGATGCTTGGTTGCTGCAGTTTATTTTACTTGACACGAATGACACTGGGCCGCCTGGGCCCCAGGCACACTTTGGGTTCCAGCTGGGAGTAGCTGTCCAGAAGCAGAGACCCCAACTGCATCTCAATAAAACCCTCCCTCTGGACTAGCCCTGCCTGGCACACCGCTCCTGGCTGCAGCAGGCTGAGCCCCTTTGGAGACAGTGCTACGTGGAGCTGGGTGGGGCAGGCGGAGGAGGAAACCTGTGTTTTGCTCCCAGACTGGCCTTGCCTTTCCGTGAGGTCAGTGTGCAGGTGGTGCCCGGGGCAGGGGGCCGGTGCCGATGGCTTGGTCTATTCTCAGTGTTGGACCTTAAATATGTAAATGTCACCCCTGCTGACTCCGGGTTCCTCGGTGTTGTTTCCGAGGGACTGGGCCATGCGAGTCCCCAAGATTTATTGGAGGATAGCAAAAGGGCTAACCTCACGCCCCCGGCCCAGCCCGGCTCCCTGTGCTCACAGCAGAGTGCCACAGCCAAGGGCTCTCCTGGGACGGGCGACACACCCCGGGAGTCTCTGTGCAGAGGAAGGGGTACGCACGGAGGGGAGAGCATGGATTTTGCTCCCAGGTAGATCAGAGTCTGGATCCTGGGCAGTGACTGCCCATCTCAGCCTCACTTTACCCACCTATAAAAGGGGAACCGTGACTCCTCTCGTATGGGGCTGCTGAGCGGGTTGACTTATTTTTGTAGGAAGTGCCTGGGAATGGGGAGCTCTCAGGCCTGCCAGCTTCTGGGGGCCCCCAGGCTCTACTGTGCAGCTTCCCACCTCGCCAGCCTTACCTCCATTTGCCCGTTCTCTGCTGCATCATGGAGGGGGGTCCCACCCCAGGAGTCTGTCACGACGGGGGCACCCATCAGCAGGAGCCGGTCTAGAATGGGTGTGTGGCCGCCTCGAGCTGCAAAGTGGAGGGCTGTGGCCCCCTCGTTATCCCGTACCGTCAGGCCAATGTCGGTGAAGGTGACCTGGGGAAGGTGGGGGAGGAGGGCCAGCTGAGGAGGTGACCCCTCCTAGGGAGGGGGTATGGGGGAGGGAGCCCGGCACAGAAGTGGGAGGTGACCCTCCCCAGAAGCCCTGGAGACAGCCGGGGACCAGGAAGTCAATGAAACTCCAGGGGCCACTTCTAGAAAAATTCTGCCTTCCTGATGGAAGGGGCTGGTGGCTGTGGTGTCACCCCTGTTTCCCCCTCCTCCTGCCTTGAATGTGGCCAACTTTCACCATAAAGGAAAGGCCGGGAGAGCAGCAAAGATTCAGCCGAATGGGGCTGGCTGTCTGATCCAAAGTCAGCAGGTTCCTGCTGCTTCTATGTGCCAGGGACACTGAGAAGGAGGTTCAGTCCAGTTGTCACCTGCAGCCAAAAGCGTGCTGGCTGATCCCACAGTCACATGTGTCTGCTGGGAAAGGAACAGTGAGCCGGGAACAGAGGCCCTCCTGTCAGCCAGCTCCCCAGAGGGAGAGGGCGCCCAGTCCCGGAGGGGGGGCCAGGTCGGAGGTGGCAGGGGGGCGGCAGGGGGAGTCACGCTGGAAAGGCCTTTCTGGCCCTGAGAGCCTGTGGCCCTGGCTGCTCCCTGGGGCTCGGTGGACACTCCCCTCTCCTGCCACCCTCCCTGCCCCCTCGAGAGCACCTCCCAGCGCTCTGAGCTGTTGCTTCTCCCCCAGCCCACCCCCAGGGCCGCGTGCTGAGCCCCCGCTTGTGCAAAGTCCTACGGCCGGGACTCGGGCTCACCCCAGGGGCCAGGAATCCAGGTGCGGAGACAGGCACATTTCTGGGGGGACCACGGTCCGAACCGGAGGGGGTCCGAACGACAGGAGAGGGAACGTGAGGAGGACTCCGCGGGAAGGCCAGGGTGGGGCTGCAGAGCTTCCTCTCGGGAGTGGAGCCGCCTTGGGGGGGGCGGGGGAGGCAGCCCGTGGGAAGTTGCCACCTCCCTGCGGACCCAGCCCGCACAAAGTGTGTGAGCCCCCGGTGCCTCAGGGGCGAAGGGCCAGCCTGGGAGGGAGAGCGGCTAAGGGAGGCTGGAGGCAAAGGCTGATGGCTCAAAGACCAAGTGGGTGGCTGGGTTTCATCATTTGTTCCTTCGCTGGATCAACATCTCCAGAGCCCGAGCTCGGTGCCAGGCTCAGGGATGCGGTCCTTGCCTCCCAGAGGCAAATGTATAGTTTATCAGGTGTTGGTGCCGTGGAGGAAAGACGGCAGGACAGCAGGATTGAGGGCCAGGTGGGGTGGCGCCATCCTAAATGGATGGGCAGGGAAGGCAGTGGGGAGGCGCCACGCACAGTGGGGACCCTGCTGGGGAGAAGGCCCCTCAGGGAGGGAGGCCAGCCCGCTGGAGGAAGAGCAGGGCGGAGGCCCCGCGGGAAGCGTGGGAGGTTCGGAGCAAGGAAGGGTTGTCTCGTCTCCACCAGTGGCCAGTGTGGCCTTCAGAGATGCCCGTCAGACCCTGCTGCCCCTGGATAAGAGTCCCTCAGTGGCTCCCAGTCCCTCAGGAAAGAGCCCTGGTCCCCTCAGGGCCTCTGCCTGTCCCGGCTCACTCTGCCCCACAAGCCAGGCTCTCTCCAACTCGGATTAAAAGCTGGGCCCTCCTCCTTGTTCTGGGCATGACCTTTTGCCCAGCCACCCCGTGCCCCTCCTCAGGCAGACCCCCTACTCTGAGATACACACACACACACACACACACCCTCCCCGGGCCTCTGTAATGAACCCTCAAGGGTCCCAGAGACCTTGCCTGGTCTGGTTTCCTGTGGTCAAAGCAGGAAGTCCCCAGCTCATCCTGGGAAAATGCATCCCCCCCAACACGGGCCACTGTGTGCTCTGGGGTCTCAGGGCTTCCTTCCAGAAAGAGGCCCAAATCCCCCTTCCCTGGGTCCAGAACGGAAGAGACTAGGGGCTCTAAGACAGAGAGCAGGAACAAGTGGCCGAATGCAGGGCCAGGAACAACCAGTGCCCGCTGGGGCCACCGGCCCTGAGGGCGCCAGGAAAACCCCCGGGACTCCTGGGGGAGGGGTCACAAGAGTCCCCCCTGCCCTTCCGGGGCCACTGCCTGTCAAGGCTGCACTCCCGGGCCCAGTCTGGGCCTGCACACACTGGTGCTCAAAGTGATGGCCGGGCACATCTGATCCCCCACAACCCTGTGGGGTCCCCGGTTTTCCTGTGGGCAGGCTGAGACCCAGAGAAGCAGAGCCCCCACCCCAGCCAGGCCCTGCTTGCTCGGAGGGGGCTCTGGGGCCGAGGAAGGAGCAGGTGCTGGCCTTTCTGCGCCTCCCATGCCCCAACACCCCCGGCGCCCACTTACCAGCCAGACGGCCAGCGAGTAGTGGCCGTGGGCAGCAGCCGCGTGCAGCACATTCATGCCATCGAGAGCACGCAGGTGCACGTCGGCACCGCAGTCCTTCACCAGAAACTGGGCCAGGTGCAGGTGGCCCTCCTGGCAGGCCAGGTAGAGCGGAGAGGCCCCACTGTGCGTCCGCCGGTTCACACTGCTGTGGGGGAAGGTGAGGTTCAGAGGGTGTTTGGTGGGGGTTGCAGGAGGCAGGGGCTGCCCCAACTAAAGGCCCAGATCAAGGGGATGGGAGGCCCAGCCCTTGGCTGGTCTGCTTGTGCCCAGCCCCCCCTTAATGGCTGAGGGGCCTCCTAGCTGGTCACCTATAGGGTTGTACAGGTTGTGCACTGCTCACGGGCACCGGCAGCGCCCCCCACACCCCAAAACCCCCTTGCCCCGACCACTGGGATCCTGGAATCCAGCTCTGCACACTCCCCATCAAGCCGTTCAGCTGTTCACGGTGCTGGGGCTTGCTGGTAAGTGAACGGCCTAGGGGAGCCGGCAGCGGGCAGGTCATTGAGCCTCCAGAGCCCAGGGCCTGCTCTGCAAGAAAGGGCATGGTGAGCAGTGCCCAGGCCTGGCATCCGAATTCCAGGCTCCAGCATGGACAGACTGGAGGAGGGTCATGGGAGTCCCCCAAGCCTGCTCTGCCTGAGCTGCCGTGGGGCCAGGTGAGTCCTTGGTCCCCAGTGGAATGCTGCAGGGAGGGACAGTCCCCTACCCAAGGCCGAACCCAGCCCCCGGTGACGCAGGCTTCACCCCGTGGTCGGTGCCAGGTGGGAATGGGGGTGCTAGGGACACCTGAGACACCGCAGGCACACTTGTGTGTTTTAATGTGAAGTCTCCAGGTTTTACATGGTAAAAACTACTTTAAAAACGGAGTCTAAAGGACCCCCTGTGGCTGGCCAGGCCCAGGGTGCCCACAGGGTCCGTAGAAGCAAGTCCCAGGACCTTCGCCAAGGGGGTGGGATGAGAAGACCAAGGAAGAGCTGAGCTCTCGGGCCTTGTGGAGAAGCCGGTGTGGGGCAGCAGGAAGAGCCAGCCCTGCAGCCTAACCCCCAGAAGGAGAAGAGGCGCGGCTGGAGGCAGGTGGGTTGAGGTGGGGGGAAGGCTAGGTCAGGTGTGGGGTGGACACTAAGTCCCACACCCGGCCAGGCCCGCAGCCCTGGGAATGGTGGCGGGGAGGCCATGTGCATGACGCCCCCGGACGGCCCGGCATGGTGCCCACGGCATCCTCAGTGTGGGCCAAGGACTGGACAGGCTCTCAGGAGGAGGAAGGGGAGCCTGGCTGGCCCTGCCTAGGCTGGGCCCATCCCATCCTTGCCACTCCCAGTTTGCCCAGCACCAACTCTGGGCAGCGGGCACAGGGCCACCGGCACGAGACTGGCCGCCCCGGAGGGGTGCCCAGTGCAGGGGAGGGGATAGTGTGGCAGGGCAATCCGGGGTGCCCTGACTGGGGCCTCAGTACCCCCCGAGTGCACTGTAGGCCTCTGCTCTTTGCAGGAGACTGGAGGGTGCCCATCTTCCCAGCTGGGGGAGCGTGGGTCCTGACATGCCCCCAGGCTGACCGAGAGCAGTCGCGGGAGCTTCCCGGCCCCTCCCACCGCCCCCCGCGCCGCTAGGACGAGCCTGTGTCTGGCCCGGCACTGCCCTCGGCCGGCAGGATCAAGGTCCTTGCCCCGCTCTGAGTCTCGTCGGCCCTCCGCCGCCGCTCTGGCCCCACACTGTGTGCTCCCTGTTCCCCTCCAGTGCCTGCCCTGCAGGGCCCACGTCCCCGGCCACCAGCCTGTCCCCCTCTGCCCCCTCGGCGCCGCCTCCCTGGCGGCAGGCTCTCGCAGACGGCCGACAGGGGGCACTCTGGCTCCTCACCTGCCGTGGGCCGCAGCCAGGAGCTTCAAGCAGGTCAGGTCGCCGCTCACGGCGGCGTGATGCAGGGGCAGGGCCCCCTCCAGGGTCTCCAGGGAGGCCGCGTGGCCCTCCCGAAGCAGCCACTGCACCAGCAGAGGGTGCCCGAAGCGGGCGGCCAGGTGCAGCGGAGAGACGCCCGAGTTGTCTTGGTCCTACGGGGCACAGAAGGGCAGGGAGCCTGTGACAGGCGCAGCCCCGGCTGGGCAGTCCCAGGGCCCAGGAGCCCACCGCCCAGCCCGCCCTGCCAGCCTGCCCTAAGGGGGTCTGCTCTTCCCTCTCTGCCGGCTGAGCCAGGTGGCCCGCTCGGGGGAGGAGGCAGGGCGGGAACGCAAGTGCAGGTCTTCCAGGTCCAAACCCATGATCCCACTGCACCCGGGCCCCTCTGTCCACGGCAGTCATGGCCCTTCCCTGCACTCGGCTCCCAGCGGGAAGGGCTTCCACGGGCCCATCCTTGCCCACGTCAGGCTCTGTGGCCCGTTACCGGTCCCGGGGCCCTGCCTCTGGGCCTCTGTCCCCTACCCAGCTGAGCACCCACCCGCCAACCACGATCCTCGCGGCCCGAAGCACTCCCATGGCAAGCAGCTGGCAGGCCTGGGCATGCTCCCAGGCACGGAAATGGGCACCGCTCCCCCTCCCCCGCTGCCGCTCGGGTTGCGGGAAGAGCTGAAGGGGCCGGTGTCTTCCCTGTCCAGGACCCGGTGCCACCTCTCGGAGGGCGCCCTTCTATGCCCTGTCGGAGCTTGCCCACTGTCCCAGGTCCTCCACCTGGACAAAGGGACACCAGGCAGGCAGGAAAAGGGGGAGGGCGGGCCCGGCTGCAAAGGCCACGGAGCCCTGGAGACCCTCCTTCTTCCCAGTGCCCCCCACCCCCCAGCAGGGCTGCTGTCACCCGCCGAGGCCTCCCGTCGTTCAAGCTGGGCGCACAGCTCCTGAGCCCGTGTGCCCACTGTGCTCCTTTACAGACCTTTGGGAAGCAGGCCCCCTGGATCCGGCCTGATGGGAACACGGCGGCCCCCTTACCCGGCGAGGCCAGGCGCTCCGATGCGGGGAGGGCACGGGGAGAGGGCCTGGTTGCTCTGGGCCTGCCCCGGGGCGCACGCGGTGGGAGGCGGCCCGGGCTTACGAGGGCCCGGTGCTGGTTTGGGGTGAGGCGGGCCTGCCTCTGCCGTGGGGCTTGCACGGCGAGTCCGAGACAGAAGCCAGAGCTGTGGTGCCCAGGGCGTCCGGCTCCCAGCTCCTGCTCCCCCAGTCCACGGGGACGCGGGCCCCACCTCAACGGCTCCCCCCACTCACCTGCAGCCCACAGCCCCCGTCGCGCACCAGCCAGCACAGCTCGGCCAGGCTGCCCATGGCAGCGGCATCGTGCGCAGGGGTGGCCCCGTTGTGGGCCCGCTGGTTGCCGGGCAGCTCGGCCTGCTGCACCAGGAACTTGACACAGGCCAGGTGGCCAGCCCGGGTGGCGTGGTGCACCAGGCCAGCCCCCAGGGCGTCCACGATGCCTGGGCCCAGGGCGCCGGCCTCCAGCAGCTGCTTCAAGGTGGCCAGGTCCCCGTCCTTGGCGGCCGTGAGCGCCCGCTGCTCCTCCATCCTCCAGCCCAGCCACTCGGGGGCTCTCGGCAGCTCACGCACAGGGCCGGGCTTCCTGTTTCAGGCGCGGACGAAGCTCCCAGCTCCGGTTACCCGATAAGCGGTGCACAGGGCAGATGGGACGCAGCGGGCGGGCGGGGGGTGGGGGGCCGGGGTGGGCAGGCCTCGGGAGACTGGGCCTCGCAGCCCTACCCCAGCACGCCTGCGGTGGCCAGAGCTGCGGTGGGCCCCGGGGAGGGGTCTGCACTGGGGTCAAGTCAGGGGTGGGTGCTGGCTGGCAGAGGCTGGCCCGGGCCTCTTCCTCTTGCGGAGCAAGCACTGAGATGCACCGTGGCTCTCATCCTGAGGACTTCCCGCAGCTGGTGGGTGTTTACGGCCCCCAGGGTCCTTCCAGGAAGGCAGTAGGCTCCCCCGCATCTGCTTCCTCTCGTCTGGGCTGTAGCCCGGAGGCTGTGCTGGCCCAGGGGGAGCCCACCTGAGAGACTCCTCTCATGGGAGGGCAGACCCATCCACAGGAGGGCCCTCTCTGGGGAACTCAGGGCCACGTGCGCTGGAGTTCGGCTAGGTCTTCACCCACGGAGCCAAGGGCCCGCCTGCCTCCTGGGGGATCTATGCCAGATCCTGGCCCTGCGCTGGCCTTGGGCCTTGGAGGCTCCATAAACCTCGGGGGAGCAGCAGCTTGTCAGAGCCAGCCACGGGCCCAGGGCCCTAACGCCGGACAGGAAGGCCTCCGAGGCGGGTGAGGGTCTCTGGGGCTGCGGCTGAAGGTCAAGGGGGTTTCTTGAGGGCTGCTGCACTTCTCGTCCCAGACTCTTCTCTTCAGTGGAGCTGGCACCCATGGCTTTTTCCTGGGCCGACTGGGATCAGCATGGCCTCTGCCTGGAGGCAGCGGGATGCTACTTTAGTGACCCACTTCCTAGGGACTCGCAGAGACAGTGTCAAGCTGAATTCCCTAAGCTGAAGCCTAATCGTACGGCGATAAATTGGGGTCACTACACACCCCTCCAACACCAGCTCTGCAGCCAGCTCCGACACATCGGTGACCCCCGGAGAAACCATAGACGTCTAATAGCAGCACTGGAATATTTTATTCACTTAATTTCTGACAACAGTCTCTTCAATGTCATCATGTAGTTCTTTGCACCTTAAAACCACATGTTAAAAGTGTATTAAGAAATCACTGCTACGTGAAGTAGCTCTGTAAGTCACACCGTCCAGGGTGTATCAGGATGTCGCAGAGCAGGGTAAGGATAGCAAAATCCATCTGGGAATAACATCATCATGCCAGCGGAGCTAGGGACAAACTCATTTCCCACCGCAGGAATGAGCCGGGGTCACATAAACCCGGCCGCCCCCCCGACTCCCACGTCTGCGCTGGAACCCTGAGTAAATGACCACAGGGAAAAGGCCGGTGGGGCCTGCGTGGCTCTGGGTGGCTGGCAGGCTGAGTGCAGAGGTCAGGTGGGGCGGGGAAGTGGGGGGACACAGAGCAGGGAGCGGGGCCTGACCTCGGAAGGGCTTGGGAAGGGCCAAGAGCAAGATCGGAGAACACGGGCGGACGGACCTCGGTGCCAACAGGCAGGGGAGGCCATGACTGCAGCAAAAATCAGGTTTCCTATGTTCATGGTAGCAACTGACAACGGTTTGTAAATACTTGGATGTTATCTTCTGGGTAAAAACGCCACCTTCCAGGAAGGTGGCACTCACAACAGGCTCACCCCAATTCCCAGAGGGGAGCACTGACACAGCTGAAATGTTTCCACTTCAACCTGCGCCACGGGGTGGTGGGGACAGTCCCACACAGGTTTGTGTCCTGGGCCTAGAAGCACCTGCGGGGCCTGCCTGCCCGACAGACCGGCTCTCCACTGACCCGAGGACAGGAAGGGGGCCCAGCGCACCCACACACACCCACTGACCCATCTCCGCGTCAGACACTCTGGGACAAGACTAAGACTGGGACAAATCAGGAGAGCCATTCTGGCACGGCCCTCGGCATGGCTTCCTATGGGGCACCCTGGGCACTAGGCCTGACCCTCCAGCTGGGCCACGGCCTGCTTCAGGTCCTGCACGATGAGGTCCACCTCGGCCCTGGTGGTGCTGCGGCCCACGCTGAGCCGGAGTGCGTTCCTGGCCACGTCGAAGGGAATGCCACAGCTCAGCAGCACCGGGGACGGCCTGGGGGGTGGGGGCGAGGAGAGCCTGTCAGCTGTCAGAGGGGAAAGGCTCTCTGTGCTCCCCAGGGCTCGGGGAAGGGACCCTGCCCCTCCTGCTCTCCACCAGCTCCCCAGGATGGGGCTGTGTAGACCCATCTCCCCTCTCTGCCAAACACCTCTAGGCCCCCGGCCTCCGGGTCCACGGTCTCGTGCTTGGACTCCTGCACGGTACTGCGGCCTCGCCCGGCACCTTCCCTCTGTCCCCAGGAGAGCTGTGTCCGGTGAGGCCGAGCCCCACCTTCCAGGGCTTCCGACCCTCGAGGAGTGCGGGCGGGTCTCGGAGGAGATGTGGGGTTCTGCACACCCCGGGGCCAGTGTTCGGGCGGTGCTGGTGCTCTCCCATCCCCAGCAGGGTGCGCGGTTCAAGGGCCCGTGGGGGCCCCCCTACACAGGCCCCAGGGTGGAAACAGCAGAGCAAAGGTCGCTGTCACATTACAGAGCCCCTGAAAGCTGTCCCCAGGCCTAGGTGGGAGAGGGGACTTCCCTCGCTGTGGTTCCCGAGGGTCCATGCCAGAGGCCCCTGCAGCGCAGGGGAGAGAGGGGACAGGGCCCACAGCTCTTGGCCCCCTGCCCTCCCCTGGGGGGTGGCCTCACTGCCTATTCCAGAGGGCACCCCCACTTTCCACAAGAGCCATGAGCATCTGCCTCTACCCCTCTCCCCTCCCACTCTTGCAGGGGCCACATGGACACCTGCCCCCTCCCAGCCGCGCCCCTGGGCACCGCTCCTCAGGCGCCTCCTCCCCTCCCCCTCATCTTGTGCCTGGTGAGACTACAGACTGCACCTGCCTCAGCTTCCCCGTCTGGGAAATGGGCCACTCAGATCCTTTCTGGAGGGCTGTGGGGAGCTTTCTGGGAGCGGTGGCCCACCTGAGCGCCCTCCTCCTGCAGTCGCCTCACTGCGACAGCCACTCGGGCTGCCACATGCCGGCTCCTGGCCTCACCCTCCCTCGCGCAGCCCTCCCTGGCACAGCTCTGAGCCCACCCGGCCCTCGGCCCTCGGGAGCCCCCTGGCCTGAGGTGCTCACACACCACAGCCCCAGCCACAGACTCCCGGACGGCCCGCTGCCGACCATGGCTCGGCTCTTTGTGGGGCCCCGGCTGTCTCATCCGGGACTGCACCCACCTCTGCGGGCCCCCCCTCACGGCGAGCGGGAAACCGAAGCCCTGCTCTTCCTGCCCCGGGGTCGGGCCAGTCTCGGATGCCCGGGCCCCACACCCTCCCCTCCTGCCTCGGCCACGGCCATCCCCCTGCACCGGGCAGGGGCCGCCCGGAACCAACCCGGCTGTCGCAACCTCCCGAAGCCCCTCACTTTCCGAGGACAGAGGGAGCTCCCGCAGCCTGGCCTGCCCCTCCCCGCCGCCCCCCCTCAGGCTGCAGCTTCCCCTCCTCCCCTTGGCCCTGTGACGTCTGGTCACGTTTTGTGTCCCCGTTGGCCGCGCAGCCCCGGGAGCCCCAGGCCCAGCGCGGCCCAGCGTGCGCGCACTCACCGGTCCGCGTGGTCCGAGTGGCACGCAGCCCCCACGCTAGCCAGCAGCGTCCTGCACCGCGCCAGCACCACGCGGCCTGGGGAGACACGGCGCGAGGCTGAGGCGGAGCGCGCGGGCGGGGCCCCAGCTGCCCGTGTGTCCTCTTCCCCCGCAAGTGTGGAGGCTCCCTCCCTCGTGCCCAGCGCACGGCCCCTCTCATCCCAGGGCACAGAGCAGCAGGATCCAGACAGGACGGTTCCTCGCAGACACGATTCTGCCTCATAAACCCGGCCTCGAACATGTTATTTCCGGTCAACTGCCGAGGGGGACACCCAGAGCCCTCATCAGCTGCCTCACCTCATACTTCGCGGTCCCAGGAATGACATTTAAACTTACATCTGAGTTTTCTAAGGGTGGAGACACTCGGGCGCCGTTTTGATTAAGCGGGAGGACACTTCCCTCTTCTTTCACAAGCACAGAGATTAAAGTAATAAACCCACTGACTTAATTAAAAGAATCCATCTCATTGAAATGGGCATGGGCCTCACTGAATACATCTGTCCCCACAAAAGCGGGGAAGAGGACAGAGCAGCTCTCCTTCGCACGGCAAACAGCGAGACTGCATCCCAGCGCAGGGTCCCACCCCCGGCACAGGGACGCCTGCCCAGGGCCTGTACGTGGTGCAGACACGGCGCTCCTCACGCCATCCAGCGAGGCGGGGAGCAACCCCTCTCCCCCAGGAACTTCCCCAAACGTGCCTCCCTCACGCTCAGGGCACAGAATCTCCTCTCCGTGAAGCTCGGCTGGTCAGTTCCCTGGACTCGGCCCCAGGGCCCTGGGTGAGCCATGTTTTATCTTCTGGATTCCAGGAATCCCAATGGTTTCCAGCCGGGAGGCAGTTATCACAGGAACAACGAGTCCCACACATGTGCGCTTCCTCCTGACTCTGAGCCAAATTTTAAAGTTGACTGCCTCTCCCTTCCCTTATCCTCGTGAAATGTTTTGTCAAACTTGCTGACGGGAATGGATGAGCTAGCCTAAAATTTAGCGCATCTCATCTCCTTCCCTCTCAGCTTGGGGCCAGCACTGCACCAACGGCCCAGGCAGGGAGAGCGGGAAGCGGCCGAGACCGGCCTGGCCTCCTGGGGACACCCGCCCTAGGGGGCCACTCTGCTCCCTCCGGCGCCCACCACCCCACGCGGAGACCGGGAGACCCTCGTCACCTTGGAGCTGGGGTCCTCGGATAGAAAAGTTGCATGTGTTGGGGAGTCGCTCGGTCCCTGGAAACTGGCTGTTCAGATGGATTCTCTGCTTACCAAATTCAGCCTGAGAAGTCAATGAAGTCTTCAGAGGTAGTTTCAAAACACACAGCCCCCCTGCACCCCAACTGTTTGACCTCGAGCCTTTTCTGGAAAACAAAATCTCAACCTCGACACATAAAATAATTAGTTCATCAATAAGCACCTGCCTATAATAGTTATAGGGACTGACTAGAGAGCAAAGTTAATCAGGAGAAAAAAATTCTGAATACGTGTGACTCTCCTCCATACAACCATCAAGTCCACTAGCTCTGCTGCATTTCTATCACGCCTTTATGAAGGTCAGCCACTTGGCCTAGAGCCCAACTTGGGGGGTCTCCTGACCCAGGCTTCCGTCCTCTAGCCTCTACCCTGACTGTCCCCAGAGTCCCTGGACTGAGTTTTAAACAACCCCCGTCCTTGTCCTGCCTGCTGCCTGGGGCGGCACCCCTGACCCTCAGCTCACTGGAGGAAGGCTGGGGCCCCCCCAGACTCCAGGCTGCCCCCCTGAACCCCGCGAACCCCAGGCTCACCTCCAGCTGCTCCTCCAGGTAGTCACGAACGTCTCTCATGTGGGCCTCGTAAGCCTCGCAATTCCTGGTCACCAGCTCAGCAGCCTGGGGACAGGGACGGTAACGCAAGAAAGCATGTTCAATTGTCATAAAACAAGGAGAATAAAGCAGCCTTCAAGAGCAGGGGTGAGATTTCCTGATGATAGAGAAGTGACATTTCTTCAAACTGCTCTTTTCCTGGAAAATCTCGAATAGATAATATTTACTGAGTGCAACCGTGTGGCAGGGGCCATGGTCAGAGCTTGAGAAGAGTTATCTTCACTTGTTTAACAGGAATTTATTTTATCAGGCGCTTCCTGATACCTCCAGGCACCAGATACTGCCCGTAAGAGCAAAGAGCACTCCCAGTTCTCGAGGCACAACCATTCCCGAGACCGAGGACCGAAGGGAAGCGGGAACAGCATCATACCAACTGGGGAGAGCGCTCTGACGGGCGCGCGGGGCATGCGGGACACGCAGGGTAGGAGATGTGAAGGTGACAGTGCGTGGACCTAGGGTGTTCACGGCCATGGCAGAGGGAGGGGCAAGTGCGCTCCTGGGACGGAGTGACCAAGGGGGACAGGGCCCCAGGTCCCCATGACAGGCAGGGCCAGGACCCAAGTGCAAAGGCACAAATGCATGTAGGTTTTGAGAAAGAGGTGAGATGCCCTGACTTGCATGTGTAACGACCATTCTGGGTGCTGTGCAGAGAATGGAAGGGACCACGGCAGGCAGGCGTCCAGACTACAGATGCGGATGACCTGGTCCAGAGTCACACAAGACGCAGACCTCGATATACTGTGGAGACAGGACAGACAGGACTGGCTGGCTGCTCATCAGTGCAGGCAAGGACCAGGAGGGACCAAGGCACCGTCTAGATTTCTGAAGTGAGGTCCCAGATGGCAGGAGGCACCATGGGGAGAGAGGGGAACCAGGGAGGAGAGACACACACGTGGGCCCAGAGGGAATGTCAAGTAAGCAGGTGGGGACCTGGGTTTCTCAGAAAGATCAGGACCTGCCCTGAGATGCCAAGTTCAAAGCCCTGAGCACAGGCTGGTGGAGCTGCAGGACAGGATGAGTGCCACGAGGGAGCAGCTGTGGAGAGGAGGCTGGGATGGTGCTGGGAGGCCCACCAGCAGGTGAAGAGGCCAAGGCCTGGCCAGGGCGGAGGGGAACTAGCTGGGGGAGGCATGCCAGCAGCAGTGCATGGGGCTGGGCCTCCTCTGCAAGTTCCGGGGAAGAGAAAGGAGTGAGACTGGGTGTCAGGAATGGGAGGGAGGGGAGGAGGTCACAGGGCTGTGGAGGCTATAACGTTCTAGTGGAGAGGATCAGGAGGACGGGCAGAGGGGATGACTGCAGGAGGGGCCCTTCTTTAGGAGGCACACAGAGAAAGGGGTGGTGGGAAGCCAGGAAGACACCTGGACTTAACCTAGGGAAGAGGGGCCTCGTGAAGCTGGGTGTGTGAAAGGCCAGACTGCATGCACGGAGGGCAGTGGGGAGTCAGGGAGGGTCAGAGAACCTGGGGGAGGTGCAGCTGCAGGCTGGAGCTGAGGGGCCAGCGAGCCGGTGGGCTGCCATCAAGCTGCGCACAAGCTGCATCCTGTAGGTGGGACAGCCAGGGCTTGGGGGTGGAGATGGCCCCAGGGAACAAGCCACCCGTGGGCCCGACTGTGGGTCTCTGCTGTAAAGACGTCACTGTATTTCTTATATTAGCAGAGGCTTGAAAAGAGCTTTTCCATGTCAGTGCTAAACACGAGCAATCAATCCACTCTACAGATCTCAAAAAGTACACTCTGGGGTGATAAATACAATTTGAGGCTTTTTCTAACCTCAGTCCATTTATTGGGCCATGAACATGATCTCCCCAAGGCCCTGGATACCTGGTAAAGCCGCTGGGGGAATGGATTGTAAGATGATAGAAAGTATATAGGTCTCTGCCCCGGGCCCAGCACTGAGCTCCCGAAACTCCAGGAATTTCCTAAGTGATAGGAACAGCAGGAGGATCTCTGGTTCTAATATTTGGACTGGCCAGTCAGAAACACAGGTGACACCTGGGACTTACGCCTGGTGTCTGAAGGGGTGCTGGGCGGGCAGTCCTGTGGGCCTGAGCCCCGGACCTGCCTCCAGGTAGCCAGTGTCAGAATCGAGTTCAATGGCAGGACACCCAGTTGGGGTCACAAAACTGCTCTGTGCGGAAATCTGCCCCCGACACCCACCTCTGGGGTTGGGAGTGTTGTGTGAGTGGCGGGCACGAGGGAGCAAAGGAGACTCAGCTGGAGGAAGACTCAGGTTTTCCCACACACGAGACGAAGCGCCTGCTCCATCTGCCCAAGCTCACCAGGGCTTACCTTCCCAAGGCCGGCGATCATCGGTGTGTTCTCGGTCCTGTAAGAGACAAGGGTTTCAATCCTATTTCCACGCAAAGCAATGAACAAATGTCCTAGGACAGAATCCGGCCTGTGAAAGTCATGGGTTCAACTGAAAACGAAATCACACCCACATCTTTCCTAAATACGTGCCATGTGCTTGCCCCCATGGTGCTGCAGCCCCCAAACCCTCACGCCCAGCTTCCTGGTCCACTCACCGTCCACACGGCCCGCCTTGGGCAACATACGCTGGGTGTCCACACGGACAGTTCTGTCCGGGCCCTTTTCCTACACAGGAGAAACCCCTCCTCCAGCTGCGGAGCCCAGGGCCCCCTTGTCGAACCCGGTGGGGGTCCAAAGACCCCAGCTCTGCGCTGTTCCCATCAGCTGACCGTTCAAGCTGCAGCCTCTCAACTGTCCCGTGGGACGAGTCGTTGGTTACTAGAGATTGTGTGGGTGCAGGAAAGGGCAGGAGGACCCCTGAAGACCGGAGGCTCTCCCTCAGACCTAACAAGCTGAAAACAGAACTCTTCACTCTGTTTTCAGGAAAAACAAAATAAATCACTAACATAATAATTTTCTGAATTTTTTTTTTTTAAGATTTTTAAAATTTATTTATTTGAGACAGAGAGAATGAGAGAGGGAGAGCACATGAGAAGGGGGAGGGTCAGAGGCAGAAGCAGGCTCCCTGCCGAGCAGGGAGCCCGATGCGGGACTCGATCCAGGGACTCCAGGATCATGACCTGAGCCGAAGGCAGTCGCCCAACCACCTGAGCCACCCAGGCGCCCATAATTTTCTGAATTTTAAGTTTTGGCTGAAGTTTGCTTAAGTCTTGGGAGCTGGCTGCCGCTGCTGACCAGCAGATAACCAGATAAGCAAACAGGAAGCACAAGGCATTACAGGTAACGCGATCCTGCTGATCTCCCTTTGACAAGTTCATTGGTCAGTTCTGTCCCCGGAGACGGGCTCTGACACCTGGGGATGGTCTGGGAAGAGCAAGGAGCTCTGCGTGGAGAATCCAGAGGTCTGAGCTTATCCTACACCCCTCCTCGACCACTGTGGGATCCTAATGCCATCCCCTCTTCGGGCCTCACCCCCCTCATCTGTGGGACAGCATGGCCGGACCAAGAGCATCTCTCAAGGTCTATGCCCTGTGAGTGGCAAGAGGGGCTGCCCAGGTGGAGGAGCCGGGACCCTGTGTAGAACCTGGAGCCTGTCTCCCCACCGCCGCCCCGCACGCCCCCCCTCCACCCCGAGCATTTGGTCAGCCTCCTCTGCCTCCTTCTGGAGTCATGCAAACCCTGCTTCCCACTCCCAGTCCACATACTGAGCTACCCTATTAGGGCTTCCTGAACACATGATGTTCTACCTCTTCTTTTTTTAATTAAACTTTGTTTTAAAGATAATGTAGATTCATACATGGTTATAAGAAACAATGTAGAGACATTCTGTGTACCTATTACTCAGCTTCCCAGTAACACTGTCGTACAAGATCACAACCAGGATGTGGATAAGATACAGAACATTTCCACCACCACCAAGGTCCCTCCTGTTGGCCTTTTATAACCAGACCTGCTTGCCTTGGGCCCCATCCCTTCCTTAGCCCCGGGCAGCTGCTAACCTGTTCTCCATCTCTAATTCTGTCACTTCAAGAATGTTCTATAAATGGAATCAGTTATAATTCTGGGGGATTGGCTTGTTTCATTCAGCATAATTCTCTGGACGTTCCTTGCAGACGGCTGTGTGTATCAACAGCTAATCCCTTTCCATGACTGAGTAGTGTCCACGCACAGGGTGCCAGCCACTCGTTACAGGATAGCTGAGCTCCCTGCACTTTGCGGCCATTGCGAAGAAAGGGGCTAGACACGCTTGTGTCCAGGCTTTTGTGGGAACGTAAGTCTGCATTTCTCTGGGATAAGTGTCTAGGAGTGAAATTCCTAGGTTGTGTGGTGGGCACAAATCTAGTTTGAAGAGACAATGCCAGGCTGTTTTCCAGAGCAGCTGTCCCATTTCCACTCCCCTGGCCGTGTATGAGTGAAGCTGAGTCTCTGCATCCTCAACAGCACTCCACGTTGTCTCTAGTTTTTGTCTTAGCCGTTCCGGTAGGTGTGATGTCTCATCGTGGTTTTAATTTGCATTTCCCTAATAGCTAAAAATGTTCAGTATCTTTTCATGTGCTTGTTTGCTATCTGTGTATCCTTTTTGGTGAAATGTCTGTGAGTGTCTTTTGCCCATTTTTGACCGAATTGTTTGGGGGTTTTGGCTGTTGAATTTTGAGAGTTTTCTTTATGTATTCTAGATACTAGTCCTTTGAGGACATATTCTAGTGCACAGCTTGTCTTTTCATCCTCTTAACAAACTGTTTTGCAGGGAGAAAGGTTTAAATTTTGATGAAGTTCAATTATCAACTTTTCCTTTTATGGATGCTTTTGGTATCAAGTTTGAGATCTCTTTGCTGAGGCCTAGAGCCTGAAGATGTTTTCCTGTTTTTTTTTTTTTTTCCCTAAAAGTTTTATAGTTTTATTTCACATTTAAGTTCATCATGTATCCTGAATTAGTATTTTACAAGCTGTGAGACTTAGGCTGAGGTTTGTCGTCTGCGTAAGGATGTCTAATTGCTCCAGTACCATCTGCTGAGAGTGTCTTTCCTCCACCAAGTTACTTCTGTATCTTTGTCAAAAGTCATTTGGGCATATTTCTGGTTGTATCTATTCTGTTCCATTGGTCTACTTGCTGGGCTTTTGATAGAAATTGGGCTAAACTGAGATATCAATTTGGGGAGAACTGACCTTTACTATATGGAGTCTTTTGATCCATGAACATAGCATGTCTCTCCACATATTTAGATCTTTGCTTTCTTTTAGCCACATTAATAGTTGTCAGCTTACAAGTCTTATATCTGAGTATTTCTGAGTGATTATAAATGGTACTGTATTTTTAATTTTGTTGTTCATACATTCATTACCAATATACAGAAATATAATCAATTTTTGTATGCTTATCTTGTAACCTATGATCTTGCTGAATTCACTCATCAGTCCTAGGAGTTTTCTTATCTGTTCCTTGGGATTTTCTACAGAGGCCATCATGTGATCTACAAAAAGGGGCAGTTTTACCACTTCCTTTCCAATCTGTATTCCTTATATTTCCTTTGCTTGCCTTCTGCACGGACTAGAACTTCCGGCACTGCTGAAAAAGAAGTGAGAGTGGACATCTTCATCTTGTTCCGTCATAGGAGTAGAACATTCAGGCCTTCGCTGTTGAGTGTGATGTTGGCAGTAGGTTTTTTTGTAAATGCTCTTTTCAAGTTGAAGAAGTTCTCCTCTAGTCATATTGTGAGAGTTTTTAATGAATGAATGTTGAATTTTATTAAATACTTTTTTATGCATTAAATTATGTTATTTTTCTTCTTCTTTAAGTAGGCTTCATGCCCAGTGTGGAGCCCAGCACAGGGCCTGAACTCACGATCCTAGATCAAGACCTGAGCTGAGATCAAGGGTAAGACGCTCAACCGACTGAGCCACCCAGGCGCCCCAATTTTTCTTCTTTAATATGCTACCTTACATTGATTGATTTTGGAATACTGAATCAGCCTTGCATCCTTGGAACAAACTCCATCATGGTGTATATATTATTTTTATATATTGCTGAATTCCATTTGCTTATATTTTGTTACAGACTTCTGCATCTAAATTCATGAGAGATATTTGGTCCATAGTTTTATTGTTCTGTACCATCTTTGTCTGGTTTTGGTATAAATTCATAAAATGAACCAGGGAAATGTTCCCTCCACCTATTTTTCGGGAAGAGACTGCATAGAATGGTGTTAATTCTTTAAGTGTTTGGTAGAATTTTCCTGTGAAGCTACCTGGGCCTGGAGATTTCTTTTTGAGGAGTTTTAAAATTACAAAATTAATTTCCTTTTCCTAATAGTTATAAAGATATTTAAACGATCAAGTCTCCTATTAGGTGAGCTGTGGTAATTTGGTTTTTGATGAAGTATTCCGCTTTGTCTGAATTGTCAAATTTGATACTGGCAATTTTTTGTCAGTCTCACTAGAAGTTTGTCAGGTTTGGTTTTTTTTAATTTATTTTTTCTTTTAATTCCAGTATTCTTAACATACAGTGTTATATTAGTTTCAGGTGTACAATACTGTGAGAGATTTGTCAGTTTTATCAATATTTTTAAAAGGCTATTTCTTTGTTTCAATTATTTTTTTAAAAAATATTTTTGGGGCGCCTGGGTGGCTCAGTTGGTTAAGCGACTGCCTTCGGCTCAGGTCATGATCCTGGAGTCCTGGGATCGAGTTCCGCATCGGGCTCCCTGCTCGGCAGGGAGCCTGCTTCTCCCTCTGACCCTCCTCCCTCTCATGCTCTCTGTCTCTCATTCTCTCTGTCTCAAATAAATAAATAAAATCTTAAAAAAAAATTTTTTTTTGTTTGCAGGGTGCCTGGGTGACTCAATTGGTTCAGCACCTGACTTTTGATTTTGGCTCGGGTCATGATCTCAGGGTCATGGGATCAAGCCTTCCAACAGGTTCTGCACTAAGCAGAGATTCTCTCTCTCCCTCTCCCTCTACTCCTCCCCCTGCTCTCGCTCTCTCTCACTAAAAACAAATAAATAAAATCTTTAAAAAATTATTTTTGTTTTCAATTTCACTAATTTCTGTTCTTTAGTATTTCCTTATGTTTACTTTGGGGTTATTTTGCTCTTTTTCTAAGTTCTTCAGGTGATAGCTTATTGACTTCAGAGTCATCATCTTTTTTAAATTAAGATTATTTATTTAGGGAGTGCTCATGAGTCGGGGAGGGGCAAAGGGAGAGGGAGAGAGAGAATCTCAAGCAGACTCCCCACTGAACTCAGAGCCCAACATAGGGCTTGATCTCATGACCCTGACTGAGATCATGACCTGGGCTGAAATCAAGTCAGAGGCTTAAGTGACTGAGCCATCTAGGTGACCCGAGTCATCATCTTTTTTAACATATACATTCAGTGCTATAAATTTCCCTTTCAGCCATGCTTTGGCTGTCTCACAAATTTTGATAAGGTGTATTTTCATTTTCATTCATTTTGATGTATTTAATTCTCTTGAGGAATCCTGTTTGACCCATGGTTTATGTAGAAGTGTGTTGTTTGTTTCTAAGTGTTTGGAGATTTTCCTACTACCTTCTAGTTATTGATTTCTGGTTTGATTCCACTGTGATGAGAAAACACTGTATGATTTCAGTTCTTCAAATGTGTTGAGGTTTGTTTAATGACACAGGACATGGTCTATCTTAGTGTATATTCTGTGGCACTTGTAAAGAATATGTATTTTGCTGTTGTTGGGTGAAATGTTCTAAACACTTCAATTAGGTCCTATTGGTTGTTGGCTGTTATTGAGTTCTTCCGTATCCTGGTTGATTTTTATCTAGTTGTATTCATTGTTGAGGGAAGGGTATTGTGGTCTCCAAATGTAATTGTGGATTTGTGTTTCTCTTTTCAGTTCAGTATGTTTTTGCCTCACATGCTCTGCAGCTCTGTTGTGTACTCCATCACCATTTAGGATAGCTAGGAATTCTTGGTGGACTGACTCTTATCATTATATAATGTCCCCTTTGTGGCTCCAGTAATTTTCTCTGCTCTGGAGTCTCCTTTATCTAATATATAGCCATTCCTGCTTTCCTTTGATTAATGTTTATATGATACCTATTTTTCCATTTTTAATATTCAACCTCCCTCTATCAATATATTTGAGGTGAGTTTCTTATATGTACCACATATAGTTGACCCTTGAACAACACAAGTTTGAACTTCATGGGTCCACTTTCATGCAGATTTTTTATAGTACTGTAAATGTATCTTCTCCTCCTTATAATTGTCTTAACGTTTTCTTTTTGCTAGCATACTTTATTGTGAGAATATAGTATATAATACATATAACATACAAAATATGTGTTAACTGTCAGCTTATGTTATCAGTAAGGCTTCCAGTCAACAGGGGGCTATGAGCAGTTAAGTTTTATGGAGTTAAAAGTTACATGCAGATTTTCAGCTGTGAAGGGGATCGGCACCACTAACCCCTGCATTGTTCAAGGGTCAACTGCAGTTGGGTCATTTTTTTCTTCTTTTAAGATTTAGAGAGAACAGGAGCGCACATACACACAAGTGCAAGTGAAGGGAAGGGCAGAGGGAGAGACTCTTAAGCAGACTCCCTGATGAGCATGGAGCCTGACGTGGGCTCAATCTCACAACTCATGAGACCACAACCTGAGCTGAAACCAAGGGTCAGACACTTAACTGACTGAGCCACCCAAGTGCCCCAGTTAGGTCAATTTTTAAAAAAAATTCACTCTGCCAATCTCTGTCTATTGCTGTATTCAGACCATTTATATTTAATGTAATTAATGTTAGGGTTTAGGTCGCCCATTAAAATTTTTTTTTGTTTGTTCTGTTTTTTATTTCTCTGTTTTCTTCTTCCTACCTCTCAGTGGGTTATTTGAACATTTTTCAGAAGTTCAAATGAACAGAAACCTTATCTCCTTTTACATCCTTTTAGTCCTCCTCCATTTATAAGTATCTTAAATTTTTCTTCCACATATATTTGGAACCACATCATACAGTGCTATAATTTTTGCTTAAGCCATCAAATATAATTTCAAAAACTCAAGAGAAAAGCCTATTTTATTTACCCATACTTTGTTTACACTGATGTTCCCAGTTTCCTTTTTTTACTATTTCCTTTCTGTTTAAAGAACTTCCTTTAGTAATTTTTAGCATAGGTCTTCTGGTGACAAATTCTGTTAGTTTTCCTTTATTTGAGAATGTCTTGATTTTCCCTTTATTCCTGAAGGATATTTCTGCTGCATATAGGATTCTGGCTTGACAATGCTTTCAACACTTGCAAAATACTGCATCACTTTCTTCTGGTCTCCATGGTTTCTGATGAGAAATACACTGCTATTTGAATTATTTTTACCCTGTAGGAAAGGTGTCATTTTTTCCTCTGGCTGCTTCCAAGATTTTTCTTTGCCTTTCATTTTCAGAAGTTTAACTGTGTGCATTGGCATGGATTTCTTTTGGTTTATCCTGCTTAGGGTTTCTTTAGCTTCTTGAATCTGTAGGTTTATGTCTCTTGCCAAATTTGGGAAGTTTTCAGCCATTATTTTTTCGAGTTCTTTTTCATCCCACCTTTTCTCCTCTCTTCCTAGGATGTCAATGAAATGACTGTTAGATCTTCTCCTATAGTCCCCACAAGGTCCCTGAGGTGTGGCTTTTTCCCCAGTCTAGATCCTCCCTGTTGCTTAGATTGGATAATTCTATCGTTCTCTTTCAGTTCGCGGGTTCTTTCCTCTGTTGCCCCTATTCTGCTGGTGAGCCCATCCATTGCACTTACTTTGGTTGCTGTTGTTTTTAGTTCTAAAATTTCCACTTAGTTCTTCTTTATATCTTCTTTGTCCTTGTTGGCACTTTCATGCATTTCAACTGTGTTCATAATTGCTCGTTGAAGCATTTTTCTTGTGTTGCCTTAAAATCTTTGTCAGATAATTCTGACATCTTTGTCATCTCAGTGTCAGCACTGGAATCTATTCTTTTTTTTGTTGTTCAATTTAAGATCTTTTTTGTTCTTGATACGATGAGTGGTTCTCAATGGAAACCTGGATATTTCCATATTATGTTATGAGAATCTGGATGTTACTTAACCCTTCTGTTTTAGCTGGCTTCTTTTGACACTGCTGTGGCAGGGGAAGGAGTATGCCAGCTCATTGCTGCCAGGTGAAGGTGGGAATCTGGGTTCCCTACTCAGCCTGTGTCAACAGGCAAGGGGAGGACACACCTTGTCAGTAAAGCTGTGGGTGGAAGCCCTGGTGGTCTCCATGGACACCACGGTGAGGGTACCTCATTACTGGCTCCCTACTAGGCCCCCTCTGACACAAGATGAGAAGATCTTGTCACAGGCTGTGCAGGTGGAAGTCTTGGGCTCCCTGTCCTGCCTTTGCTGGCTCAGGTGGGGATGGCAGCAGTTTACCATGTGGTGACTGGCCAGAGTAAAGTGGGTATTGTCTAAAAGTTCTCCGTCTTGCTAGGCTATCCTATTCCTGGTCCACTGTCTAGTGAGAGCTGGCTTTGGTTGGACGTTTTTTTTTCTGCCTTCATTAGTGTTTCTGAGTTACAGGCTTCATCAGCTCTAAGTCAGGGATAAAGGAGGCAAAAGAAAACCCAGGGAACCCACTACCATGTTGTTCCTTTTCTCCTTTTTGTTAGAATTTCTGATAGTTGGTACCGCCTCCTTCCCTGGTCACAGTATCAGCTTCTATCGCAGGGACACAGGAGCTATCAGAAAGGAAGCCAGGTGCTACTGTGCAACCCTGCTCATCCCACCCTCATGAGAAGAGCAGCACATCTCAGCCAGGAGGCTCCAGCTTTGAATCATCCCCATAGAAAGTGAAGATCTGTGAATGGGCAGAATCTATCAGTGCAGCAAATTCTGACTCAGTAGTGAGGTAGAATGTGCTATTACAGTTCTTCTAAGAGACAAAGAAAAGTTACTGCCCTACAGACCAACAGGATGGTCAGTAGGCCAGAGACTTCATTAACCTTCTATCTTACCCTGGCCTGAAATTCCGTTCTTGTCCACCTCCAAACAGCATAGGGTACAGAGGGGTAAGTTCACCAAGCCCTCGGACGTAAAGTGCTCCAATCCTGGGACCATAGAACTGAAAGGAAAAGTCAGTCATTTATTCAGCAAGAACCTTCTGAGTTACTACTCTGTATGCGTGCTCAGTGCTTAGAGGCACACAGAGAAATACTCTGTAACCCATGGGTCCCATAGCTTGTGCTACCCATCACCACTCTGGACATGTCAGAGACACAAAAGCCTTGGGGGTGCAGGGCAGAGCCTGAACTCTTGTTCCTAGCCTGCGGCAGCAGAGCTTAACTGCACATCACAGAACAGAATTTATAAAAGGAGAGGGGCTGGAACTAGAGATTGCCAAGGGCTTTTCCTGGGTATGACTCCATGTTTTCAAACAGACATTTTGCAAAAATCATTGAATGCCACAGTGTCGGGTCAGCACACGTGCTCCTTTGGAAACTAGCTGAGCACCATGCTTCAATGTAGAGGACTACAAATATTTCAGGTTCTAGTCAGCTGCCAGAAAGATGAGTGAAGTCTCAGAAGGGTCCTCACTACTGTTTCCTCTCTTCCACATTTAAGGTAAGAGCTGGTAAAACAAAACCTTTGCAATCAGGAGCTGCACTTTAAATCAAGTTAGAGAAAGCAACATCTTGAATCTCACATCTTCCATCCTTGGGGTGGGGGCCTATGAGTGGGCTGATGAGGGGTCTACAGGAGCTCTCTGCCCACTGCAAAGAACACTCAATATCTGGCTGAAGCCACCTGCCTTATGTCTCACCTGAGGCCTCTAGGTCCTTCCACAGCCCTGCCTGTCCACCCCCTCCTGTCTCAAGTTGGGGTGCTGCTGGTCTCTCCTTCTTCAGCTTGTGACAGTGGGGGCTGCAAATTGCACCACTGTGTCCCCCGACAGCACTGGACAACAAATGGATGATCAGTGGTGCCGTGGGCTCTGCTCTAAGGTGAGCCTTGAGGTCATGGAAGGAAGGAAGCCTCTGTGGACGCACCTTGTGCCCAACGATGGTCAGGAAGTCCACACCCAGGTCCTCCACATCCACGTGCCGTTTCCCCAGGGCCTGTGCTGCATCTGTGTGTAGCAGAACGACCGGCAGCCCGGAAGCTACCCGCTTCTGGTTCAGGGCTTTAATTCGCTGACTGATTTCAGAGATGGGCTGAAGTAGGGAAAAATAAACAATTGAGTATGTCTCTTTGATTTCATGAAAACTGAATGAAAGAAATAAGGAGTCATTACTGAGGAGAGGAGGAGGAGGAGGAGGAAGGAGGGAGGAGGAAGGGGGGAAGAGGAGGAGGGAGGAGGAAAGAAGGAGGAGGGAGGAGGAAGGAAGTGGGAGGAAGGAAGGAAGAAGGAAGATGAAGACAACGACGAAGACAAAAATGATGAAGATGAAGATGAAGAAGAAGGAGAAAGAAAAGAGGCCCCAGGTGAGATGCATGAGAATATCAAGCAGAGTCTGGGCCCCCTTCATTCCTCACTAGATTTTCTTAAAAGGATAAGTAACTCACCATAATGACACCAGTCTCGTTATTGGCCAGCATGATAGTCACGAGGCACGTGGCCGGGCAGACAGCTGCCAGGATGTCCTCAACCTCCACCTGCCCATTCACCTTGGATACTGGCACAAAGGTGACTGCTGAGGGAAAAAACCACACATACCAAGGTTAATCTTATAAAATAACCTCTTTGAAAGTTCATTTAGATACAGCTTAACAAAAGTATTTTCCATATTTAAAAAGTAATTTATTGTAAAAGTTCAGAAAACTATAAGGAATATAAGCCACCCTTCATCACAGCACATGGATATAGCCAATGTGAATGCTCCTTTAAAGCAGCTTCAGTTGCTGAGTTTGTTCTGTGGAACACACTCTCCATTCTGCTGCTGAGGGGCCCACAAGGAGGTAATACACTCTTAGTTCATGAGCATCTATTTTTCAAAAATTTTATTTTAATTCCAGTATAATTAACATATGGTGTTATATTAGTTTTGGGTCTACAATATAGTGATTCAACACATCTATCCATTACTCACTGCTCATCATGGTAAATCTACTACTAATCCCCATCACCTGTTTCCCCCATCCCTCCACCCACATGCCCTCTGGTAACCATCACTGTGTTTTCTATATTTAAGTCTGGTTTTTGGTTTGTCTCTTTTTTAATTTGCTCATTTTCTTAACTAAATTTCACATGAATGAAACCATATGCTATTTATCTTTCTCTGACTTATTTCACTTAGCATTATACTCTCTAGATCTATCCATGTTGTTGAAAATGGCAAGATTTCATTCTTTTTTATGGCTGAGTAATATTCCATTATATACATCATCATCTATCTTCTTCTTCTTCTTCCATCTATCAATGGGCACTTGGGTTGCTTCCATGTCTTTGCTATGGTAAACAATGCTGCAATAAACATAGGGGTGTTTATATCTTTTCAAATTAGTGTTTTCATAGTCTTTAGGTAAATACCCAGTAGTGTGATTACTGGATCATATGGTAATGCTACTTTTTTTTTGAGGAACCTCCATACTGTTTTCCACAGTGGCTGCACCAGTGTGCATTCCCGCCAACAGTGCACATCCTTGCCAACACTTGTTTCTTGTGTTTTTGATATTAGCTATTCTGGCAGGTGTGAAGTGACATCTCATTGTAGTTTTGATTTACATTTCCCTGGTGATGAGTGGTGTTGAGCATCTTTTCACGTGTCTGTTGGCCATCTGGATGTCTTCTTTAGAGAAATGTCTGTTCATTTTTTAATTGGATTATTTGATTTTTTTGGTGCTGAATTGTATGAGTTCTTTATATATTTTGGATATTAACCTTTTATCAGATGTCATTTGCTAATACCTCCTCCCATTCAGTAGGTTGTCATTTTGTTTTGTTTATTGTTTCCTTTGCTGTGCAAAAGCTTTTTATTTTGATGTAGTCCCAATAGTTTATTTTTGCTTTTGTTTTTCTTGCCTAAGGGGACATATCTTGAAAGAACCTGCTATGCCCACGTCAAAGAAATTACTGACTGCTCTCTCTTCTAGGATTTTTATGGTTTTGGGTCTCACATTTAGGTCTTTAATCCATTTTGAGTTTATTTTGGCAAAGCATGTAAGGAAGTGGTCCAGTGTCATTCTTTTGCATGTAGCTGTCCAATTTCCCCAACACCATTTGTTGAAGAGACTTTTTCCCATTGCATATTCTTTTCTGCTTTGTCGAAGATTAATTGACCATATAATTGTGGGTTTATTTCTGGGTTTTCTATTCTGTTCCATTGATCTATGTGTGTATTTTTGTGCCAGTACCATACCGTTTTGATGACTTCAACTTTGTAGTGTATCTTGAAATCTGGGATTGTGGTACCTCCAGTTTTGTTCTTCTTTTTCAAGATTCCTTTGTCTATTTGGGGTCTTTTGTGGTTCCATACAAATTTTAGGATTGTTTGTTCTAGTTCTGTGAAAAATGCTACTGGTATTTTGCTAGAGATTGCATTAAATCTGTAGATTGCTTTGGGTAGTATGGACATTTTAACAATTATTTGTTTTCTGAATTCATGAGCATCGAATGTCTTTCCATTTATGTCATCTTCAATTTCTTTCATCAACTTCATAGTTTTCAGAGTACAGGTCTTTCACCTCTTTGGTCAGGTTTATTCCTAGGTGTCTTACTGTTTTTGGTGCAATTGTAATGAGACTGGTTTCTTAATTTCTCTTCCTGCTGCTTCATCATTAGTGTACAGAAATGCTATGGGTTTCTGTATATTAATTTTGTATTCTGTGACTTTACTGAATTTGTTTATCAGTTCTAGTAGTTTTTTGGTGGAGTCGTTAGTGTTTTCTATGTAGAGTATCATGTCCTCTGCAAATAGTGAAAATTTTACTTCTTCCTTACCAATATGGATGACTTTTATTTCCTTTTCTTATCTGATTGCTGTGTCTAGGACTTTCAGTACTCCTTATTTTTTGCATACCTATTACTGGTTTTTGATTTGTGGTTACCGTTAGGTTTAAATAGAATATCTTATGCATAATAGCAGTTTGTAGTAAGTTGATGGTTGAACCCATTCTAAAATCACTAAATTTTTCCTCCTCTCCCCCACACATTTTAGGTATGTGGTGTCATACTTTACATCCTTTTATTTTATGAATTCCTTGACTGATTTTTATAGATATACTTAATTTACTGCTTTTGTGCTTCCTACTTTTCTTATTCTTATTTATGGTCTTTCTACAAAAAGAGTCTCCTCCCCTTTAACATTTCTTATACAGCTGGTTTGGTGGTATTGAATTCTTTTAACTTTTGTTTGTCTGGGAAATCCTATCTCTCTTTTTATTCTGAATGATAGGCCTGCTGGATAGAGTATTCTTGGCTGCAGGTTTTTTTCTTTCAGCACTTTGAAGATATCACACCAGTCTCTTCTGGCCTGCAAAACTGCTGCTGAAAAATCAGCTCATAGCCTAATTGGGTTTCCCTGGTATGTAATTGTTTTATCTTGCTGCTTTTACAATTCCATCTTTATCACTACTTTTTTGCCATTTTAATTACTATGTATCTTGGTGTGGCCCTCCTTGGGTTGATTTGGTGGGAGCTGTCTGTCTCCTGGATCTGGATTTCTGTTTCCTTTCCCAGATTCGGGAAGTTTTCAGCTATTATTTCTTTGAATACATTTTCTGTCCCCTTTTCTCTCTCTCATCCTTCTGGGATCCCTATGATGCCAATGTTATTACTTTTGATGGTGTTACTGAGTTCCCTTAATCCACGTTCATTTTTTAGTATTCTTTTTTTTCTCTCTTATGTTTAGTTTGATTGCTTTCTATTACTCTGTCCTCCAGGTCGCTGATCCATTCTTCTGCTTTTCCAATCTGCTATTTATTCCCTCTAGTGTATTTTTAATTGAAGTTATTGAGTTTTTCATCTCTTCTTGGTTCTTTTTAATGTTTTCTTTTTGTTGAGGGTTTCACTGAGGTCCTCCACTTTCTTCTCAAGTCCAGTGAATACCTAATGACCATTACCTTAAATTCTCTATCAGGTATATTATTTACCTCCATTTGATTTAGCTCTCTTGCCGTGATTTTGTCCTGTTTTTTCATTTGGGACAGATTCTTCCGTCTTCTGATTTTGTCTAACTCTGTTTCTATGTGTTAGGAAAGTCAGCTAGGTCTCCTGCTCTTGAAATTAGTGGCCTTATGAAGGAGAGGTCCTATAGTGCCCTGCTGTGTGTGGTGTTCCCTGTTCACTAGAACCTAGGGGTGTCTCCTATGTGCACCCTACTGTGTGGCATTTGCCTTCAGTCCAATTGTCTGCAATGGCTGTCTTTGCCTGTTGTAGGCAGGGTTTGGTCCCTGTGTTGTTAGTGGGTGGGTCTGCAGGAAAACGTGGGGGTGGGACATGCAGTGCCAACAAGGTCTGCACCAGTCCCCTGCAGGAAGGGACCTGCAGCTGCCCAGGAGAACTACCCAGGCCAGGATGGAGGGTGTGGGTCCACAGAAGAGTGTGGGGTGGGGTCCACTGTTAGCAAGCTAGGTGGAGAGTGCTGCACTACCCTGGTTCCCATGGGTGTCTGTGTATCTGGCTGGGACCTGGAGGAGGGAAATGGCATCTGCCAGCTCCTTTGTTCTTGGGGAAGTCTCCTAAAAGATACCATGCCCCTCCAGCAGACACTCCGAGAATAGTAAATAAATCTCCCTCCCATACACCCAAGGAGTTTATCAAACTGCTGTTTCTATGCTGTATTTCCATGGGGCTGTTAGTTGTACTGTCTCTGTAAGGGTGGGACTTCAGTTTCCTCTTCGTCTCCCAGCTCTTCCAGAGCCAAGCCGGTTGATTTTTAAAGTTCTAGGTGTTAAGCCCCACTGATCGTAAGAACTCACAAAGTTAGGCCCCTCTGGTTTTCAAAGCTAATGTTATGGGGATCCATCTTCCCAGTGCAGGTTCTTCATACCTGGGGTTCCTGGATGGGATCTGCTCTTCTCCCCTCTCTGAGCCCATGGTGTCCCTCCCCCCATGTACAGTCCCACAGGTCCATCTGGCCTCCAACCCTGTCTCCGCCCTTCCTATCCTCTTCAACATGGCCTCCTCTCTGCATTTAGCTGTGGAGAATTTTTTCTTCCAGTCTTCAGGTTATTTTGGGGGGTTATTTACACTGATGTGGATATTATCTAGGTGTATCCATGGGACAAGGTGATCCCAGGATCTTCCTACTCCACCATCTTCACGAGAGCACCTTAACGTACCAAGTACTTAACCTTCACTCACTCGACACTGAGCCAACACTCGTTAATCACCTACTAGGTTCCAGGCACTGCTCCAAGCTCTTATAATCTCATTACTACAGATGAATAATAAGTGAAGGTGACTGAATCAAGATTTTGGTTCAAAATGGTATAAGACAAATGCATCCACTCTCCCCTCAAGGCCCTAAATGAGAGAATAGATGTTTTCTAAATTAGGGGTATCACCTGTGGACAAGGAATTTTGAGGAATTCCCAGAATATAGAAAGATGATGGCATTAGATTAATAAGAATAGGAAAAAAACATTCAGAACAGTAATAGGCGAAAACTATGAAAGGATCATCCAAGTGCAGAGTGCACAGCATGGAGCGTGAGGAGGGCAAATTGCTGAGGCAGGCAGGGGCTGGTGTGATGACCTAGCACCCCCACCACATCTGCAGGTCTGTGGCAGGAGCACTGGCTGTGACTGAGAAGAGCACCGTGTGCCCGAGAGAGGACTGCAGGCCTGGGCGGGCTCCAGGGACGGGGTAGGAGCCAGAGAAGGGCAGAGCTCACGTATCCACTGCAAGACTCAAAGGAGAGCAAAAGAAAGGCTGCTCTGGCTGGAATTACTCGTCTTGGGCACTTGGGTGGCTCAGTCGGTGAAGCGTCTGCCTTCGGCTCAGGTCATGATCCCGGGGTCCTGGGATCGAGCCCCACATCGGGCTCCCTGCTCAGCGGGGAGTCTGCTTCTCCCTCTCCTTCTGACCCTCCCCCTGCTCTCTCTCTCAAATAAATAAAATATTTTTTTTTAAAAAAGGATTACTCGTCTTTTTATTAAGCACATGAAAGGATGCTCAACATCATCAGCCATCAGGGAAATGCAAATCAAAACCATGAGATACCACTGCACACCCCTGGGATAGCTATAATAAAAGATACAGACAATTGCAAACGTTGTCGAGGATAGAGAAATAGGAACCCTTGTGCCCTGCTGGTGGAAACATAAAAGGGTGCAGCTGCTTTGGAATACATAGGTCACCTCAAAAGGTTAAACACAGAGTTACTCTGTGACCCAGCTATTCCTCTCCTAGGTATAAGCCCAAGAGAAATAAAAACATACATCCACACAAGAACTTGTACACAAAGGTTCATAATGGCATTATTCATAATGCCAAATGATCGTCAACTGATGAATGGATAAGTAATGTGAATATTATTTATATAAATTAGAATTCACATAAAATGGAATTTTATAAATCCATAAAAAGAAATTAAGTACTGGTACATGCTACATCATGAATGAACCTTGAAAACATGCTAATTGAAAGAAATCAGTCAAAAAGACCACATATTCTATGATTCAATTCATACGAAAGTCCTCTGAAATAGGGCAATCTTTAGAGACAGGACATGGATTAGTGGTTGCCTGAGGTTGAGGCAAATGGAGAATTACAGTGGATGGGTACAAGGTTTTGGGGGGTGATGAGATGTTCTATAACTGATTATGGTGATGGTTGCACAACTTGGTGAATAAACTAAGAACTACTGAACAGGACAGGGAGAAGCAGAGTCCCTGCTGAGCAGGGAGCCCGATGCAGGGCTCGATCCCAGGACCCCGGGATCATGACCTGAGCCGAAGGCAGACACTTAATGACTGAGCCACCCAAAATCTGTGTAATTTAAGCAGGAGGTTAAACGCAACAGCAACTAAGAATGATGTGTCGCCCTTCCCTGTAAGTACAGAAAAATAAGAAAGACAGAAAAAAAAAAAAAGGCACCAGGAACTGAAAGGAACAAGAGCTGAAATAAGAAAGTCAGACCTGATCGATCTCTTTTCTTAAAGTAGTGCATCTAGGTAAGACCAGAAAGAGAAAAACCCTTGTAGTAGTCAAACAGGAAAATCCATAGAAAGGCTTCATAGTCAAACGGAGCACTATGTTACAGTCCTTTATCTTTATGATAAAAATACTTTCCCTCGATTCACCTTCAGATTTCCAGACAGATTAGAGGGGCAGAGAGGAACGTCACTTTGCTTAAAGGAAAGTATTCACCTCGGCTGTCTTGGGGGAGAAAAGGGCTCTTAGTTTTCTGAAGTTTGTGGTCTGTGCCCCGTGTCTTGAGACTTCATAGCACAGGAAAAGCGAAAGGTCAGAGTCACTGCCACGGCTGGCCAAGCCCACCTGCCCGACCCTCAGCCTGCCTGGCCAGCCATCTGCCCCCAAGTCGCCCGCCCGCCTGGCAAGGCCTCCCTCCCCTGTGCTGAGATGAAGTCGTCCAGCAAGAGCACATTCATTCTGGTGTTTACCCCCTGACACTGAGGTCTATTTGACCCTTGTTCCTCCTATCGGAGGAAGAGGAAGCCAAGATTTAATCATTGCAATCCAAGTGAAAAGCTCGGTTTAGCATTTATAGGCATACTATTTCAATACATATATATTATATACAAGAATCCGAAGTATCGTTTACTTGATAGATCTAGACTAGATCTCCACGTTGATGACCCATCTTTTCCCTAAGGGACAATCTGGCAGCATTCACTGGTTCCCGTGTGGGGAGAGGCTATGTGACCTTTGCACCTGCAGACGGCCAGGGAGGCTGCGAGCAGAGGGTAAATGATTCACCTGGTCCTGGAATCAGTTAGCGGTCGTAAGCGGAGCTGCCCTGCAGAATCCGCCAGGCTGGTCACTCACCGGCCACCCGTTCCTCCACCAGGTGCTCCAGGGGCAGACGGATGGAGTCATGTTCCACGGTGCAGGTGATAAGGTGGGGCATGGCCCTATCCAGCGGGCTGCACAGCTCGGCCAGGCTCCCCTTGGAGGGGTGGGTTTGGTGGAAATGTTTCACCACGGAATGAATTACTAAGTTGTTCGACTGCAGAGAGCAGAAAGAGCATTTACGACACCTGGGCTAAGGGGACAGCGAGAGTACCACTTTCTGACTTCATTTTCCTTGTGACTAACGTTTAAAAAGGAAAGAATGGTCTTGAAGACATTCAGCTTTTGAGCTGCACATTTGAATGCCCAACGACAAAGATTTGGGGTTTCAACCTTTCAAAAATGTCAGAATTCATTTCCAGTCAATTATGCCTGTCTTATTAAGCAACGTTATGAATTTTTAAATTTTATAAATCTATCGAAAAAGAATATTTTGTCCAGGTACCCACTGCTGATGGGAGTATAATCTGGCACATTAAGGGCCATTTGGCATATCTATCAAGTAAGCCCTCTGACCCAGCACGTCTGCGTCTTGGACTTGATCCAATCACTACACTTGCATAGAAGCAAAATGATGTACAGAAAGGTTGTTTATTAGGTGCAGCACTGTTTGTAACAGCTCAACCTCGGAAAGCCCTTCAGAGTCTACCAATAAAGGGACTTGTTAAATAAATCATGCAACGCTGCTCAATGGACACCAAGGTATAAACATCAAGGGAACGCCTTATGTGCAGAGACCAAAAGATCTCAAATACAAATATACTTGCTAAATAATAATAAAAAAAGGTAGCAGAAATTATATACAGTATTCTACCCAATTTGTATAAAAAGGGGGAAATACACACACATTTACTCATATATGCAAAAATATCCTTGAAAGGGTAAACAGGGAAGGAGATAAGAATATATAAATCTACATAGTTATTTGCTTTTAATGCATAGTCTCTCTGGAAGACACCAGGAAGCTAACAGTATTGGTTTCCTGTAGCCAGAGTGGATAACTGAAGGGTTCAGGGTAGGAGAAGACTTAAAAAAAAAAATTTTTTTTTCTTCTTTTAAATTATAACATATATACAGAAAAGTGTATAAAATATAAACGTAAGTTTAACAGAGAAGGCAGTGAATACTGAGTGACTGTTACCCGATCAAGACAGTGGACACTGCCCCACGCAGAACCACACTGGGCCCCCCTCAATCACTGTGCCCTCCCCACCCCCACGGAGCTGACACCACCCTGATTTGTACGGTAATCATTTCCCTGCTCTTCTGGATACTCTGACTTCCTATGCAAGCACCTCTAAACAATACTGTTTATTTTGTCTCCTTCTGACCTTCATATGAGTAGAACTGAACGAACTTTTTCTCAGTGAAGATCCAATCCCTTGGAGCATCTGGGGGTACCCCACGATGGGGGGGGCAGTGCTTGCGCTGTGCTGAGGTGCCCACGTGCTGCCATCCTGCGTGCAGAGGACTTAAGACAGTGTCCAGCTGACGGCACGCCAAGGCAGCCCCCTCTGTGGCTCACCGATGGGCGACACATCGGATCAGGCAACAGTGAGGAGGTGGTCGGGGACGAATGACTCAGATGGATTTCTCCAACCCGTGGATGCTTCCTTAGAGGTCCCAGGTCACACCCTTGTAGAAAATGCTGCCACACAGCCATTCTATCCAGAGGAGAGGTTCCTTCGGGGCTCCACGTGGCTGCAGAGTCCCTACAATCCCATTTAAGGCCACCGTGGATGGTAGTGTAAAAGATGACCCAATGACTGTGAACAGGATGGAGATGCCCAAGCCCCTCCCACGTGCTGCATGTGTCTGTCAGTCGCTGCTGAACCCTGGAAATGGCTGCCCTGCCCTGGGCCCCAACAGGAGTACAGGGGCCTCCGTGGGAACCACCAGGTCACATCTGAAAATGCACCATGTGCTCGCAGACCATGAACGTCCTTGGCACCAGATGAGACCAGGATGGCCCTACCAGGCAGCTGGGGCTGAGGCAGCTCCTTGTGGGCCACCAAGAGTCTGGTCGCAGTGGTGGTTGCGGGGCCCAGGGGCATGGCAGCAGCTCCCCGACCCCTCACTCAGCCAGACAGGGCTCAATGGACCCTTTGACTGACTTCATTCATTCGGCATCTCAAGATCCACGCGCGTTGCTGCAGGTCCCGTGTGACATTCCGCTGTAGGACTGAACACAACGTATTAACATTGGTCCATGCTAATTTTGAGGGACCCCTGGGTTGCTCCCAGTTTCTCCCTGTCGTGAACAGTCTGTACCTGCGCCCTGGTGCGCACGCGCCTCACTTGTCTATGCTACGCCCTGGGAGTGGGACTGCGGGCTGACAGTGTATGCACGGCTTCAACTTCACCAGATAACAGCCCCCTTCCCAAACTGGCATTCCAGCTTATGCTCGGGCTTACTGCTCTGCGTCCTTTGTCCACACTTACTACCATTGCAATGCTTAACTTTTATCATTCTGATGGGCGTGCAGACGTGTTTCAATGTTTTTTACTCTGATGACGACGCCAAGTATTTTCTTTTTTTTTTTTTTAAGATTTTATTATTTATTTGACAGAGAGAGACACAGCGAGAGAGGGAACAGAAGCAGGGGGAGTGGGAGAGGGAGAAGCAGGCTTCCTGCAGAGCAGGGAGCCCAATGTAGGACTCGATCCCAGGACCCTGGGATCATGACCTGAGCCGAAGGCAGATGCTTAACGACTGAGCCACCCAGGCACCCGACGCCAAGTATTTTCACATGTAGAAACTGGCGCCTGCTTTGTGAAGCACATACTCAAGTTTCTTGCCCATATTTCCATTGGGTTACCTGCCTTTATATCCTAGATGCTAGTCTTTTGTCAGTTATATGTTGTGAATGTCCTCTCCCATTGTCTAGCTTGTCTTTTTGTTTTCTTCATAGGACTCTTTGATGAAGTAAAGTCTGTTTTGTGGTGGTGGTGGTACCATTTATCAGCCTTCTCCTTTATGGTTAATGCTTTCTGTATCGTATAGAAGACATTCATTGCTCTTAATCATCACAAAGATATAAACTTATCACCTGAAAGCTTTCTAAATTTTATTTTCCATAATTAGTATTTATTATGCCCAAAGTTATGATTATTACTTTATGTTGTGAAGCAGAAATCCAATTTCCTTTTTCTTTGTGAATATACAGTTGTCCCAGCACCATTTACTGGAGACCATTCTTTCTTCCTGCTCTGCTATGCTACCTCAGTCATATATGGTGATCATATAATCTAGCATCTGAGCCAGAAAAACTTAAGAATAAGAGGGCACTGGGGCCTGCTTCTCCCTCTCCCCCACTTGTGTTCCCTCTCTTGCTGTGTCTCTCTCTGTCAAAGAAATAAAGAAAATCTTAAAAAAAAAAAAAAAAAAGAGGGGCGCCTGTGTGGCTCAGTCGTTAAGCGTCTGCCTTCGGCTCAGGTCATGATCCCGGGGTCCTGGGATCGAGTCCCACGTCGGGCTCCCTGCTCGGCGGGAAGCCTGCTTCTCCCTCTCCCACTCCCCCTGCTTGTGTTCCCTCTCTCACTGTGTCTCTCTCTGTCAAATAAATAAAATCTTAAAAAAAAAGAATAAGAGGGTACTAAATTATGTCAGGACAACACGTATATCCTGGGACTGTCCTGAGCAAACCAGGATACATGGCTACCTCAGTCATATGACAAGTGTCCATACATGCATGGCGCTATTTCTGGTCTACTGTCTGTCCCTGCCCGAAGACCACGTGCCTTAATTAGTAAGCTTTACAGAAGGCTGGATATCTGGTGGAGCAAGTCATTTCACTGTGTTCTTAATCTTCCAGAGGCCTTGACAATTCTTGGCCTTTGGTATATCTATGTAAATTTGTGAGATTCCACCAAAAAAGTGTCAGGATTTTGACTGAGGTTGCCCTGAATCTACAGATCAACTGGGAAGAACTGATGTATTTAGAACACTGGGTCTTCCAATCTGGGAGCTTGGTGAATTGCTCCGTTTACTCAGAACTTCTTAGAAGGTGGTATACACTAATATTTCTATTACTTTCTTGGTGGGCGGGGTCTATGAAAAAGGTCTTACAAATTCTTTTTTGTCAGCTTTATTTCCTAAGTATTTGATATTTTTCGTGCTCCGGTAAAAACCTGAAACCGCTATACAAACCTCTATATGGAAACTGAGAGGAACACACCAATGCTCCAGCGAGGTTTGACTTGAAACGGACCACATTTTTCTCCTCCTCGTTCTTGACGCCAGCCCCTCCCCTTCACTTGCTTCTCTGTAGAATCCTTTGTTCCAGGAACTTGGTATCGGTACTTAGTAATGAGACTCGGATGGCCGGCACCGACGCTGGTCATGAGACCACTATGGAGACATGATGAACGCAGCTGGCAGGATGCACCAGATTCCTATCGACGCTGCCGGATCCTGTATTTTCCTATGAAAGCCCTGAGCCTTTTACCCCGGGCGGGTCTGCAGTTCTGAAGGCATCAGCCTGCTGCGGCCTCCCTTGCCTGGCAAAGTAATAAACTGTCGTTCCTCTTTATCCCCAAACTCTGTCTTCGTGTTACATTTTGGTTCCAGAGCATAGAGATCGATTTTTGACAACATACTTGCTTGTCCCTGGTACATAAAAACACGATTGATTTTTGTATCTAATAACTACTAACTTTTCTTATTAACTCTAATAATCTAGCTGCAGACTCTCTTGGGTTTTCCACATGGACAGTCACATCACCTGTGGGTGATAGTCACGCCTTCCTTCCCAGAAAGGGAGACAGTATTACTATTTGAGCAGAAGCCTTGACACCATCCCACTGTCTTTGAGCATTTCTATCAATCTAAAAGTACATCTGGAATGGGTCAAACCTCAAAATCTTAATAAGGCAAACAATTTAGTAGGGACTTAAAGGGATAATTCCAGGGCAAAATGTAGGGGAAACTCTCTGTTGAAATAATGCAAGTTAATTTACACATTATGTTACAAATGTCCTATCAGACATCTGGAATTTACTTTTAGGATAAGTACTAATTATATGAAGCTAATTTGCAAAATTAGCAAGACCAAGACCAAGATTTACTCTTTTTTAAAAAAAATAATACCAAGAGGGAACCATGTTCTATTTTTTCATATAACTTACAGTTAAAAGACTGTGAGCCTGTTTAGAAACTTTACCTCGGTGCCCCCAGAAGTGAAGATAATGTCCTGAGGTTTCCCACATATCATCTTCGCGACGTTCTCCCGAGCTGTGTCAATAATGTCCTTGGCCTTCCGACCTTGAGAGACCAAAATGGAAACTCATTAACGTCACTTCACTAAGCCCAATAAACACATGTTTAAAAGAACAACCAGACATGGGGCTGGTTGGCTCAGTTAGTGGAGTGTGTGACTCTTGATCTCGGGGTGGTGAGTTCAAGCCCCACACTGGGTGTAGAGATGAATTAAAAATAAAATCTTAAAAAAAAAGTACCAGACACGCAGGAACAACTCTAAGTGGGCAATTCTAAGACAACCCATGTCCCGTTAACGTGAATACAATAGGCCACAACCTAGGAATAAGCTGATGAAGGGGCAGCAGCAAGATAGGAGCAACTCATGACCCCTACTGAGACTTAGTAAGAGGTGGAAACAAATACGGGGGGACGCGCGGGAACCCTAAAATCCCCAAGGACGTGGGCTTCCTCTTACCGGATGCTACAGGAGAGGGGAAGCTGTGGCCATCTGCCTTGCTTCCCATTCATCAAGACAGGAGGGTGAAGGGATGAAATAATTTGCTTAAGATCAAGCTGCAAAACAACAAAAATAAGCAAAAAGAATGCTCATGACTCCTCAACACATGGTGCAATGCTGCATCTCAGTGCAGGTCCCCCAGGCACACGAGAGAGGTCCCTGCCACAGGGCCAGACCTGCTGTCACACGGGGGCCACGCACCCCAGCTGTGAGCCAGTTCCACTGGCTGGCACAAAAGAAGGGACCAAACTGTATGCGGCAGAGAAAGGAAGGAGCCAGGATGGGAACTGTGACAATGTCAACGGCCATTCTTACTTGGTCTATAGATCAAGAGTCTCCAAAGTTTGTTGACTACTCAGCCCTACTTGTAAGAAAAAAAAGTCATCAAATTGTACACTTTCACTCTGCGGTTCAGTGTATGTGAATCACACCTCACTAAAGCTGTCGGAGGGGGAAGGATGCAGAGGGTGCAGACCAACGAGTCCCGGGAACAAAAGCTACTGGAACGCTCGGAATCCCGTCCAGTGTGGACAGGTCAGAGAATTGCCAGAAATGACCTTGTGGTTGCTCTTTTCATGTACTTACAATTTATATTTTCAAAAGGGACCTAATGCCACTTGGAACAAAAGTGCATACTCAGGGAGATTAGAACGTGAATGGTAATGAGATGCTGTCATTGGATTAATGCTCAATCTCTGGCTCGGGACGGCGTCCTTGTTCTTAGGAGACACTGCTTCGGTATTTAGGAGTGAAGCCTCCTGTTTGCAACTTTCAAATGATTCAAATAAATGGGGCAAAGTGGTAATAACTGATAAATCCAGGTAAAGGAATTAAATGCAAGTGTTCGCTAGACTTATTTCACCTTGTCTGCAGATGTTACATTCCAAAATAAAACTGTGGCACAAGGAGTTAGAAAAATAAACCAACCCGTGAGATGCGTGCTAGCAAGGGTTCTCTCCCCCACCCCAGGTACTGATTCAGTCGTTATCTTTTCAACAAGTAATGTCCTCAATTGAGGAAATTGGAATATGGTCTGAATCCAGGGCAGGACCCTCCTGTCATGTTCTCAGGTTTGCTGATGGCACTGTGATGGGAGAAAGTCCCTTCTCTTTTGCACATACAGGTGTTTCCCCATGATGGGGAAGTACCACGCTTCTTGCAACTCATTCTCCAGAGCTCATGAAAAAGCAGTAAATTCAGAAAGAACGAGATCAAGGTAACATGGCAACACTGTTGGATCTAGGTAGGAGACACATGGGTGTCTATTTTCTTCCTCTTAAATTTCCGGAATGTTTGAAGTTGTTAGTGTAACTAAATGTAAAGGGTGGTTGGTAACTGTAACTGACATAAGAGAAGACTCTGAACTCCTGCCCTTCAGGAAGCAAGAGGGATGGTAAGGGGCGTGTGCGGCTTCCATAATCCATTAAAGCAACCCTACTTCACTTGGCTGTTCTCACACCAGAGCCCCTCTACCTGCCCCCAGCAAAGGCCCGTTTCTCCTTTCCCATCTCTTCCCCTCTCCATTCCCTCTTGAACTCACTGGCAATCAGGTACTCTGGCCCCTGGCTTCCCAAACCTACTCTGACCAAGATCCCCTTGTGCCAAATCAAGGCCCCCGCCTCCTCCCTTGCCAGCAGCTCTCCCTTCGGTCCACTCCCTCCTCCTCCGAGTCCCTCGCTGGGCAGCGCTCCAAATCCAGATGGCGGATGGCCCACACCCTGGCCAGGTCCTCCGATCCTCCCTCCCTCAGCAGCCCAAGACTGAATAACCAGCACCGTGCTGCCGACTCCCGTCCCACCTGGGTATCCAATAGGCATCTGCAACTACACTTACTCCAAGGTGAACAATGACTTCTCCCCCAAACTTGTTCTTCTCAGCCTTTCCGATCTCAGTACATAAATGGCACCTTAGTCCTTGCAGGGGTCTGGGGCCAAAAGCTTTGGCTCTTGCCTTTCTCATACCCCATTATCCAACCCATCAGCAAATCCTGTAAAGCTCTGCCATCCAAAATGCCCAGAATCTTGCCTCACCTCTGCACTGCCCAGCCACAGCGGAGTCAAGGCCACCGCTGAAATATTCCCCTAGAAGGCTCCCAACTCCACTGACACCACTGTGGTCCACTCTCTAGGCAGTGGCCAAAGTAATGCCCTGCAAACCCAATACACTTTGTACCCTGTGCCTTATCCCTCACCAGAACAGTGCTTGGCAGGCAGTAAGTACTCAACCAATACTGGTTAAATCAGCTGTTCTCAAAATGTCATCTGGGAAGCCCTTGGGGCAGGGGCAAGGCACTTTCAGGGCTCCACGAAGTCAAATCAAGTTTCATAAAGACGCTAGACATCATTTGTCTTTTTATACTCATTTTCTTGAAAGTATATAGTGAAGCCTTCCAGAGGCTACATGATGTGAATATTGCAACAGACTGGATGCAGAAGCCTTAAGCTGCGTAAGTCCTTGTGCTTAAGCTCCTGTTACGTGGGGGGTTTCTGTATCTCACAGCAAAATGATATATTTTCCATACTTGCTCATACACAGTTTTTCTTGAGGGTTGGGTATAAGAAACAAAGAAACCATACTGCACATCAGGTTTCCTAACATGCCTTCCCCACATGAACTAGATGCTGCTAGATCATTGATCTAGTCCACACCATGGCTCTGACAGGGCCCAGAACTCCACTTAGGGCTTCAGCATACTCAGTGTGATCAGTCCTTGACTGATGGACACTGAGGTTATTTCCAGCTTTTTACTATTATAAGCAAGGCTGTGATAAACATCTTGGGTATCTAAACTCTTCCCATATGTCCTTAAGGTTTTTCCCTAAAATAAATTCTCCCAAAGGAATTATTATCATTATTAAATCATAATATTGTGAAAATAATTAAACCATTCTATCATAAAGGTGATTTTCTTTCTTTTCCTTTTTTCTTCCCCCCCCCTCCCACTTCTATCTGAATATCAACAAGTGAATGGCAATGCATAATTCAGTTATGGTTCTTAAGAAATGAAGGCTGTCAGGACAACTGGAAAGCCACTGACAGGTTTCATCCGGTCAAGAAGGGGAATTTCTCCTTCAGGGTTATTCCTAAACTTCTTTATAAGAAATGTTTTCTATTAGCATTTAATTGTCCTCCGTATTCTCAAGATTAACGCATCAGAAAGTACAGTTTTGCTAGAGGAAAAATTAGATACAAGGCAATGTCCAGAAGATTAGCCAGAATACACGTACCAAATAAACCAACAAATAAGTTAATGAATGACTAGTACCTGATTTTGAAAAAGCTTTTAGTTATCAAGTTGTGAAGCTCATACCAAACAGATAGGAAAACCCATGAAAGCCTGTAAAGTTGGATATAAGTATTACTAAATTCTAGGGCTTGGCAACAGTGTCTGAAAGCTCTTGTAGCTCCTCATAATCCACAGTTAAGACAGTTTATCTTAATGATCTCTGGTAAGTATTAAATAAGAAAGGTACAACTAGCGGGCCATCTGAAAAACATAATGTAACTGTGACAGTGACATAAAACTACTGATTTGCAGCAAATCATTTTCCAAAACCGCCAATTTAACGATCTACATTAAAACAAGAATAAATGAGAAATGAGAATATTTTTATTATAATGGAAATAAAGAATTTTAAAATAATTTTCATTTAAAAAAAAAGGCCAGGGTTACATGCAATCCTGATGATTTAAAAGATCTATTTTGTAAAGTTTTTAAGGATCCACTGAAACAGATACATGAAAGGGTTTTAATGGGTACTGTTACTACAAATAGCTCTTAACAAGACATCTTTTTCATCTGGGTAAGGGGGACGGGACAGTGTATTAAAAATGAAAGGTTATGGTATCAACAGGCCCAATGGACAAGTTTGGACTTTTCTGAAAACCAACCAGCCAAAAATTACACCTAAGATTTGCAGTGAACAGAAAATCTATTCAAAAGCAAGTGATCACATGTGGTGTACAATTTCTCTAAGACTGCCTCTGCCCCCCATATCTCCGGATCTGTGAGCGCCTTCTAGCATTACCTGCTGGGTAAGGACTGCTGGGATTTCCCCAGGCTTCCCTCATGGCCTCGGTCATGGCCTGGATGACTTCTGGCTCAAGGGGGGTGGTTGCATTATAGTCCATGTAAACTTTCCTGCTGGAAAGAAAACACAGATGTGCCTATTAGGGACAAGGAGATGGAGTGTGGAAGCACAGCTGCACTCTGTCGGCTCAACAAGCAGATACTGTCAAGGTTGGGGTGGTCCCCTGCAGAACCACCGCGCAGCCTTCCGCACTCTGCACTTGGATGTCTCCAAATCTTCATGAAGTATGGAAAAGGTATGCATAATTTCCAACAATCCAGTATTTGCTAGTTTCCTTTATAATCGCTAGACCATCCATGTAGATTTTCAAAAGTTCTTTCCACCCGGTGGTAGGATCAATGGCCCGCTGAGCCTCGAAGCCTACCCTACTGCTCTGAGGGACAGACCTGCTCCTCTCTTCCAGATGGAAGGAGAGGGGAGCGTGAGCGCCCAGGGCTTTCTAACTTCTTGGGTAGTTTTTCTTTATTTCTCTGTAGTCTCTGGCCTGGCGGAAGGCTCAGGTGATCTGGGCACCCACTCCTCCCGACACTCCTCTTGGCTCCCGGACCCTGGGTAGGCCTACTTCTCCCCTCCCACTTGCAGTTTCCCGTGCCTAGCAAGACCACACCCCCACCCCACTTTCCTTCATAGGTCTTTGTTCCATCTTGACTTTCTTGTGAAGCTTCCTGCAGCTCTAAATAAAATTACAGCCACCAGTCCCCTTCCTCCTTCCTCTGTCTCTCCGTGGTCCTCCTCAGTGTGTGACTCACTAGACTTGGGCCCTGTTCACTGTGGGCCTCAATAGAAATACGTCAGCTCCAGAAGCTCACAGGCTTTGCCAGTTCCCCTCGCTGCTCTGTCACTTACAGGACCCTGGGATCATGACCTGAGCCGAAGGCAGACCCTTAACCAACTGAGCCACCCAGGTGCCCCCAGACCAGAGTTTTTTAATGCAACATCTTGTCTATAGGTGTCCAAAGTCACCTGGTAGGTTTAAGGCTTTGGGAAGTTTGACCTGCCACCATTGGCCACTCCGGCACTGGGAAACTCCTGGTCCTGCTGTGACTTAAATCTGCATGTGCCCTGAATTTTGCTTTCATTTCCTTTTTTTTTTTTTTTTTTTTAAGATTTTATTTATTTATTTGACAGAGCACAAGCAGGGGGAGTGGCAGGCAGAGGGAGAGGGAGAAGCAGACTCCCCGCCGGAGCAGGGAACCCGATACGGAGCTTGATCCCAGGACCCTGGGATCATGACCTGAGCTGAAGGCAGACACTTAACGACTGAGCCACCCAGGCGCCCCAGCTTTCACTTCCTATAAATACCCCACATTTCCTCAAACTACTTGTGTCTGCTCAGCGACTGCAGCTTTTCATTCTGCTGGCAGACTGAAACATTTATGACTTGAATTTCAGATTAACATTTTATAGATAACTCCATTATTTGCTTCCTCCTTAAAATGCTGTCAATATTGGATGGGAACGCTAGAGTCTATTATGTTCATAACCAAAATATAATAAAAAGGTATGGTGACTCTCCTCTCCACTCAAGTCTCCCTCGGGGGCTTTTTCCCAGATCCTTTTGCTCAGGCTCAACCAAAGTAGACTGCCTAATGAAAGAAATGGTCAGGGTTAGGCCTGGACCCAAATTTTAAAGACACACACATTCCTCACATTCAGGCAGAGAGGATGACCAAAAAAGAGTAAGCAAAGTCCCAGCAACAAACAAAATGCATAGCTGCAGCAGGCTGAAGAAGCAGCGTGCACTGGAAGGCCTCCCTGCCCACCTCCCCGCTTTCCCGGCTGCTCAGGCCAGGAGCCCGGGAGGCATCTGCCTCAGTCCCTCCTTTGCCCACACCAATGCATCAGCCAGTCCTGCGGCTTCTGTCTCGGTACCCCCACCTCTGCGCGCCACCGCGGCCAGCACTCCGGCCACACAATCCTACAGAAGATCCCCAGCGTTTCCCCGCTTCCTCTCCCGTCCGCACCCACGCGCCCCTAGAATGCATCCCGAAGTCCTTCCTGAGCCCCGTGGCTCTGCCCCCTGACCTCAGCTCCGCCAAGCCCCTGCTGCTCGGTTCCAGCCCCCGGGCCTGCGCAGCGGCTGTCCCCCTTCCCCGGGCGCGCTTCCCCAGAACTTGTGCGCCGACTCCCGGACGTCACCTCCGCGGGAGCCCGCCCAGGCCGCGCCCCCACCCGCTGCTCCCCCCGGCTCGCACCCCCGACGTAGGCCTCATCCCCGCGCGGGACGCTCGGGCCTGCGGTGCCCGCCAGCTGGCGACCCCTCCGGGCGGGACGCCTTCCCGGGGAGACCTCCGGCACTCACCGGCCGCCACCGACCTCCCCGCACCGCCCACCCCCCGCCCCCGACCTCTCCGGGCGGGACAGCCCCACCCCTCGCCCCGCGGCGCCCCGAGGGCTTCCTGGAGGAGGGCGCCGGCCGCTTCCCCCTCGCGGGGCACACCTGTCCGGCGGGCTCTTCTCTCCGCGGCCGCGTGGGCGACTCGCCGCACGCCCCCGCGCGTCCCTGCTGGTCGCCACCGCCGCCTCCATCCCGGCCCCGCCGCGGCTCGGCCCCGACCCGCCGGCACCCAGCACCGCCTGACCCACGGACCTCGCGCGTCTCGGGCGGCGCCTCCGGGAGGCTCGGCGGCAGGGGCGGGGCCGCGAGGCCCGGGCCGCGTCCGGATTGGCTGCGCTTTGCGCTCGGCCAACCCTGGGGCCGGCCCCTGCGGGAAGCCGACTGGCTGCGCGCGGTCAGGTGACGGGGCGCGTCACAGGGGGCGAATCACCGAGGCCGGGAGGCGGGCTGCGGCGGGGAGGGCGGGCTCCTCCGCGCCGGGACCCCGAGCGCGTCCGCGGGGGCTGGCCGGGGTCGGGCCGCATCTCGGTGTCGGTGCAGCGCCGAGAGGCCGGGCCTGCAGGGTGACACGCAGTCGGCGGGAGGGGCGCGGGAGCCAGAGCTGAGTTAGGGCTGCCGGGGCTGGGGCGGCCGGGGAGCGCCGAGCGGGGAGGGGCCCGAGCTGTGGACACATGGCGTGGGAGCCCGGGCGGTGGGCACGTGTGACGCTGCTCCACCCTGCCGAGCACAACAGAAGTCAGGGCGCACGGCCGGCCACAGCAGTCGTTCGGTTTAACTGAGCCCGAGCACGTGCACCGTTGGGAGCGCCTTCACGTATTCACTGATTTAATCTTGGGGGCAGCGAGTGGGCACGGTTAGGAGGAAATCGAGGGAAAGCTCAGCATCTTGCCCAACTTCACACGGTAGTGAAGGAGCCAGAATTTGAATTCAGGAACGCTTTGCCAAGAAGTTGAAATTGGCTTTTCCAAGACTTTCTCAGTTTGATCTCCAGCTGGGGTCCAGAAGTTGTCTCTTCCAGCTCTGCAAGTCTCTGTATTTCTGGGTTCCTTATTTCCGTTCATTCTTGCTTGCAAACTGAGCTCATGTCAAATGTAGCCATAACAAAGGACACACCAAAAAAAATTTTTTTTAAAGATTTTATTTATTTATTTGACAGAGGGAGACACAGCGAGAGAGGGAACACAAGCAGGGGGAGTGGGAGAGGGGGAAGCAGGCTTCCTGCCGAGCAGGGAGCCCGACGTGGGGCTCCATCGCAGGACCCTGGGATCATGACCCGAGCCGAAGGCAGACGCTTCGCCGACTGAGCCACCCAGGCGCCCCCCCAAAAAATATTTTTTAAGATTTATTTGAGAGAGGGGCGCCTGGGTGGCTCAGTCGGTGAAGCGTCTGCCTCCAGCTCGGGTCATGATCCCGGAGTCCTGGGATCGAGTCCCACATCGGGCTCCCTGCTGGGTGGAGAGCCTGCTTCTCCCTCTCCCTCTGCCTGCTGCTCTGCCTACTTATGCAATCTGTCAAAAAAAAAAAAAAAAAAAGATTTATTAGAGAGCAGGACAAAGGAGCAGAGGGAGAGAGAGAGAATCTCAGGTAGACCCTGTGCCGAGTGCAGAGCCCAAGGTAGGGCTCCATCCCACAACCCTGAGATCATGACCTGAGCCAAAACCAAGAGTCCCCACTTAACCCACCAAGCCATGCAGGCACCCCAAGGACACACCAAAATTTAAGAAGCAAGGAGATACACGGAGCTTAAGGACAATCCAAAGAGGAGGAAAGGAAAGGGAATTAGGAAAGAATGTCCAAGAACAGATGAAAGTGTAAAGTGCAGCTGAGAGGACATGTGGAAAGTGTCTACCTTATAGGAGGATGAGGAGGCACTGATGCATTTAGTTCAAGAAATTTTAGTATGGCAGTGGGAAGAGGGCAGAAAAGTGTGCAGTGAGTTGAGGGATGGGTGGAACACAAAAGAATGAAGAATCTGGTCAACCCTTTCCCAAAGGTTGAGAAAGGAAGGAGGGAGCCAAAAAAGGGGGTACAAGATTAAGGGAAATATTTTAGAGCCTGAATGTGTTTATATGCTGAAGGGCGGTAGCTGACAAGGACACTGGAGATAAGAAAGAGCCAAAGTCCTGGAAGTGTTGAGAAGGCATGAGAGTAAGAGCAAAAGTGGGTGGGGGAAATTGAAAGGTAGGGGGCAGGTTTCCTTCTCTAAATCTGCAGGGAGATGGTGTGGATGGGAGCTGGAGGGCACCCAGGGACAGCTGACAATACGATTCATCTCAAGCCCTTCTTGGACCAATTAGGCAGTAGTTAGAGGGTTTGTGTTTCCGGGTGGATACAATGAGTGTAGTGGAGTCAGAGACCAGAGAGTGCCCACGTGGCTGGTGACAGACACCTAGACAGAACAGAGTACCCGCATACAGAGGACCAGCTGCTGAGGCAGCAATTTCCTCCTCACTCTTCCTAAAAGCTTATCTGGTGCAACAGGCCGCAGCCTCGGCTGTTCCCCGTGGACTGGTCAAAACAGATGCCACGGAGGAGGACCGGAAGGATGTCTTAAATACCTGAGATAAGGCTCAATAAAGACCAAACATTTAAGGAATGCCAGATAGTAAGCGCCA